AAGCAGAAAATAAAAAGGAGTTTTTACGAGACATACAAACTGCTGAGCGTCCGCTGCGTGTGTATAGCCCTCCCTGCAGCCCATGTGGGAACCAGGGTCCCAGGCTGGGAAACATCGCAGCAGTGGGACAATAACATGTTGTCCTGCTCAACAGCATGTTGTGGATGACTTTCGAGGTCATCCACATTCATCACATGCTTTTAAGTAAAAAATAAATTATTACAGAGTTAGCATTTTGTGTGTGTGAGGAAGTGCATCCTTTGAGGAATTACTTGCCAAGCTTGGGAGCAGCATGGAGTGGAGAGAATACCTGCACACACACACACACACACTCCACACACTGTAGGAAATCCTGTCCAGGGGGCTGAAGTGGGGCCCGGACCAGGGACCTCCAAATTGACCCTTCTGGTAACAGAGCATTCTCCTGACTGGGAGGGGCCAGAAACACAGTATCTCTGGGATTCTTCAAAGCATGCTGACAGCCCCAACTCTGCCCCTTGTCCCCTCCTTGGCCAGTGGGATCTGTCCACTCCTGTCACCTGTTACCCTGAGAGCTGCTATGTTTCTCGCTGGACAAACGAGAGCCTGCTGCCTGTCTGCAGTCCAGCCTCACCCTCTCCAGAAAGGTCTTGTCTCTCTCCTGCTTCAGCCTGCCCTGAGCCCTGGGAGTACCCCTCACAGGGCCTGCTCAGTCTCACCTCCCGCTCTTTACCTCTGTGCTTCCCTTTCACCTGGAGTCTCCTCCTCTCATTCTCAACTCCTCCCCATTCTTCAAGGCTCCAAGTTCACTTCCTGTGACCCCCAGACTGGATTAGGTCCCACAGCACCCTCAACACCCCAATACTGTTTCTGTTCATCTCCTGGGGTGTTAGTGTGCTGGCTGTTCCCTTCACTGTAACCTCACCGAGGATCAGGGCCATGCCTGGGTCTCCATGTCCTGGCCACCAAATGTTTGTGGAGTATCTGACGAAAAGGGTGCCCAAACCGCTTTGGAAGGCAGCAACTTGACATTGCATTCATCGTGCCATGAGTTGAGGCTCAGAGGGGCCCCAAGGTATGCAAAGTTCACTCAGCTAGTTTGGAAGGAACAGGTTCACTGGAGACTGAGTGTGGTCTCTGGGCACACTGCACATGGAGACATGTAGGCGGCGAGTCGCAGTGGGCTCACGTGGGTGGCCTTCTATTTGGCACAGACTGTTAAACCACGGCCACCGCAGACACTCATGCTTCTGTCTTGAGGTTAGCAGGGTTACTGCCTCCTGGGTCACGAGAGGCCCCTGGCCTCTCACTGGGGAGGAGGCCTAAGGGTGCTGGGTGCTAGCAAGACTCCAGCCATAGGCCGTTTTCTCAGAAGCCTTTCCTTTCAGATGGAGATTTTGAAGTCTGTTAAAGGAGGTTCTTCAGACCCTGACTGCAGCAAACGTCACCACCAAGCCTCATGGCTTCACTCTCTGCCCCACAAAGGATCCCTGTGGGAGGCGAGGACCTGTGAGAGTTTGATCTTCATGGAGCGCCAAGGCTTCTGGCAGGGACAGAGTGCATGGGGCCAAGACAGGCTGACTGATGCCTGTGGCGTGCGTGGGATCCACGGGGACAGACAGCTGGGGTGAACTGCACCCCAAAGAGGCCTGGGGCCATCCAAGTCACCTAATCATCTGTGGGGTGGTAGAACCACGCTGTGACGACACCAAAACCCCATCTTCCACATCTGCAGGCCACAGGGACCCAGCCTCGTGCCCTCATCCCTGCCTGGGGCCAGTGCCTCCTCTCCTGGGGGTTCTGTTACCTTCTTGTCCTGTCCTCTGCAGTGACCAGAACAGGGACCTGTTCACTGGGAGTTTGTTTCCTCCCTCCTTCCTTTCCGGCCAGTGGAGAACACGGGTGTGGCTGAGAAAAACTATTCTGGGGCTGGGAAGAACAGGAACGTTGAGTGCTGCAGAAAGCTGGAACTTTCTGAAGGCCAGGGGTGCTTGTCCTAGAAGCTCTGGTGGTGCCCTGCACGGACGCAGAAATTGAATCCTTGCCTCTTAGCAACCGAGGGCAGAGCCTATTGACTGAAGCCCCTGGCAGGGACTGGTTCCTGAGTACGTCCCACCAGCCTGCCTCTCTGAACCCTGCCTGTGAGGTCACATGGAGGCTGTGGCTACTGCACTGAGGGACAAAGGGCTGCTGGAGATTCTTGGAGACTCCACCATGGCCTCCATAAAGTGCCCACAGGCCACTATCCTCTGCCCAGAAGCCTGTTGAGGTGGGAGCCCAGGGCTCACTGAGCCCCATGGCTGCTGCTTAGGGCTGGAGGGGCTGGGCTGGGACTCCGGGAGCCTCCCAAAGACAGAGTGGGCCTCTGAGCAGACCCAAGCTGTGGGAGGAGAAGCAGCAGTTTCTTATGAAGAGCAGGGGGGCCTGGACCACAGCCTCCGCTTCCTCTTCTGGAGAAAAAAACTGCAGCTCAGCTGTGCTGGCTAATTCTGAAGCTTCTGTCCTTGGAGCCTGCTCCAGGGGCCTAAAGTTTTGAGCAGGTGGCAGCAGATGGCCTCTGAGGCTCTGGATGGAAAAATAGGGTTGGGAGAAGAGGTTGGATTGTCCAGGGAAAAAGCAGAGACCTGGATTCCTTGTACTATAGAGTCCAAACTGGAACACTTCCGAGAATGAAAGGGCGCTGTCTTAACTATTACACCAGGGCAGCACATATAAACCAGGACTCATCAGGGCAGACCAGGATGTATGTTACCCTACTTACTCCTGCTTCCTAGCTGTGTAGATTCGAGCAATTACATAACCGCTCTGAATTCTGGTTTCTGCATAAAAAAGGGCTAATATCACGTGCCTGCCTCCCAGGGCTGCTGGGGGGATTAAAGGAGTAAATTAAATTCTGTGAAAGCTCCTGGAACAGCCCTTGGCATAGAGTAGGCCCTCCATGTTTCTTCTCTTCCTGTGAGGTAGCAGGTTCCCTGTCCCTGGAGGTAAATGCAAGAACCTGCCAGCTCTCTCGAGCGAGTTCTCATGGTGGAAGAGGGTGTGTATATACAACCGGAGAGTCTGATTCCAATCCTTCCAGTGTCCTTTGGAGGGTGGTGGGGACGGTGGGCCAGTGAAATGTCCTAGGCTGGAAGTCCAGGTAGACTGGTCCCCTCCCCTCCTCCCAGGCGGTGGTGACTTCTGTGCCCATGGAGGGCCCTCACCAGGACCCATCCTGAGGCAGCTTTGCCGTCCCCAGCTCTCTGTGGCTGCGGGAGGCCACGGTTTTGGTCAGGGCAAGTCCATGCACTTCTGTTCTCTTGAGATTGCCCCATGTGGATGCAGCCATGTTCTCTGGGGATGGAGGTAGGGGGCGGGTGGTCTGGGAAGGCTGGAGGCTGAATTGAAGGAGGCCATGTGCATTTTCTGTGCCTGCTCTGGGGCTTGTGGAGTTGAACCCAGGATTGTTAAAAAAAGAGCTGGGTGTGGGGTCTGGCTGTGATTTGGTCCTGCACTACTCAAAAGTCTCCAGGCCTCAGATTCCTGCTGGGAGGTAGAAGTGAGTCAGCTCTGTCCTCGGGGCTATGGTGACAGACACAGGTGACAGTGCTGTGCCTACTGCTAACTGTTCACAGCCTCCGTACTCCATCCTTGGGGCTCCCACTGCGCTTCCTTCATCCATCTTCCCCACTGCCTGGGAGCCCCAGGAGGGAGAGTGGACACTTCTGAGGGGGCAGTAGTCTCCAATGTCTGGGCAGATGAGGTCCTCAGTAAAGGAATAAATGAATGAGGTCAGAGCCAGAAAGTGACCCAACATCTGCAGCATCAGCTTTGTGCGGAAGTTGTCCCCGATCCCTCAAAGCCAGGCTACTGTAGGTGGAAGGTATGACCTCCTGCAAGATGCCCTTGTGCATTGTCAACTCTGCAAAGGTGACCTCACGCTGGGGACATTATTCCAGCAGCCTCAATTCCTGGCTACTTTGTCCTCTATCTCCTCTCCTCACTCCAAGAAGGTGCTTCTGGCCACTTGAGTCAGGACTTGCTGGAAAGATGGTTTCTTGAAAAATATCAGCTCCAGAAGGCATCTGGAGGTAAGAGTGCACAGCCCTCCGCAGACTCCCGCCAAGCCAGTCTCCTCTGTCAAATGGGGAGCATAAAGCCCCACGTGGCAGTCAGTAGGTGTGCTGCTCCCAGGGTGGCCCCTTAGCGTGGGTGCAGGGTCCACCTCAGCAGTGAGTCTCCAGGCAGAGGCTGCAAGGCTCCCAGCCAACTCTGCTCTTAACTTTGCCTCAGTCTGGGCCACCCCAGCTCTATCCTCTTGACTGAGGTCAAGAAGTGGGACACCAAACAGGTCACCAAAGTTACTTATGGTTAACAAACAAAATGTCTCCAAAAACGGGATACTGGAGCTCTGAAAAAGAGGTGCCAAAATTCCATGTTAAGACTTTCTGGCCAATCAGCTTATTAATGACAGGTCTTGAAAAGAAAGGCCCCCTAATACTAAAGGACTACACCAACATTTAATGTATTCTCACCAACAGAATGACCATTCTCCTGTTGCCAGATTTGGCTATATTAGTCAGTGTTGACAATTCGATAGGCAAAAAAAGGCATCTCGTTGTTTTAATTTATATTTTTAACTAGGCAGATTGAGTATCTTCCACATATTGTGGGCCATTTTTACTTCTTCTTCTGAAAAGAGCCTATTCACATCTTTTTTTTCCTACTGGTCTGTCTTTTGTTAATGATTTATGGGTACTCTTTGTATATTGTAAATACTAATCCATTGTCATGTATTTTTCCTGTTTGTCTTCTAACTTGGCTTATGTCTTCTACAGAAAGTTTTACCCTTTTACAAAGTTGCACGCGTGTCTTTTCCTTCAGCTTGTTTCATGTCGTGCTTAGAATTTCTCTCACTGAGATGATTCAGCTGCTACTTCAGATGTTCTCAGAAACAACAGCCACAAGGCTTGCAGTGGCAGCAAGTATTGCTTATTCAAAAGAAAATGGTTATTTTAAAAAAAGAACTGTCACTGAAAGCATTTATTTAAATATTAATAGATACGGGTAAAAATTACAAACGGCATAATGAAACTAACAACTTTATATTCACAGATGGTCAGATGGTGACAAACAAGAAACAGGATCTCTGTACATTGAGGTTTGGTTGTTATGAAAATGCATATGAGGGCCTGAGGAAAGGTCTGTTTACAGGCTTTGGTGGGGCCATAATCCCCAATTTTCTACTGGCTCCTGGTGCCATCTGAGAACCATGCACAGCTGATCTTGGCCCAAGTATGCCAGAGGATTTAGTTTTAGAAGACATCTTTCTGCATGTGGTGGAGCCCCTAAAATGTGAAAAAGAAAATTGAGATGTTAAATAAAACCCCCAGCGAACAGTCTTTTTTCTCAACCTGAAAGAGCTATAGAACCGATGATTTTCTTTGGTCTTACGCATCTCCCTGCCTATAAACCTCTGGGTAGGGTTGGTTCCATTTACAGTTCAAGGAGGAAAGGACTGCTGCTCTTCAGACAAATGTGTCTCCCTAAAACGTCAAGGATTGTTTCTGAATCCTGTGACTTGAGCCCAAGCCATGTGCCTTTTCTCCACCCACACCTTGCACAGCTGATAACCAGACCCCTCCCTCCAGACAACAGATCCACATTCCCAGATCCACTCTGACCAAATAAAGCAAGCAAGGGTACGTTGTTTTAAGGCCCCAGATACCCAGACAATAGACACTCTGGAATTACTGCGCTTGCAGTCCCGAGAAAGGTAGCTGAGTGTGTGGAGATGGCGTGGAGAAGAGCCCAGCCTCTTCCTGCCCAGCCCCAGCCAGGGGAAGGCTGCTGATGTGGTTCCCTGGGGGCCTGCGAGCGGCTGCTCGGGTCTGGCACGTCTCTGTCACGGCCACGTCACCAGCAGCTTGCTGGACTGCCTACACTCCCAGATCTGTGTGCTCGCACCTCCCACCCGCTGCCTTTAAAGCGAGGGAAGAAGCCCCCGCCACAGCTTATTACAAAGTCCTTCCAGCACCTCACTTCCCTCACTGGCCTAAGAGAACGGCTGCTATTCGTTTTCCTTCCTCCGAAGTAAAATGTAAAAATAAACAAATAAATAAATAAAAAATAATCACAGGGCCGCATGTTTACAAGGATAACAGCTGGCCACATTCTCTACAGAAGCCTTTTCTTACGCAAGTATTACTTGCTGCTTTATAACCGGGCTGAATTCAGGCCCAATACTAGTTCCATAGCACCAGGGCAGGCCAGCAGCCTTCTGTGTCTGAATTCAGGGGCCACCAGCCTGCGGTAATGACATTCTGGTGGGGCTAGGGGAAGAGTGGTTTTCAACACTGTTAAACTCTTGCTCCAAGGCAGTGTTACCGCAGTACTGGCAAAGATGTGCTAAACGAACAGAGAAGCAGCCCTGAATTTCCTTACACTGATTTCCTGCTGAAAAATTAAGCCTAGAGCAAAAACCCACTGTTTATGTTGACTTATAGAATGAATCTGCCAACAGGAGCCTCCATCTCACCCGGCCATCCATTTTACTCCCACTTAGAGAGCCCAGACACAGCTCCTTCATTGTGTATTATTCGAAAGACGTAAAGCTCTGAGGGTAGGGTGGAGAGTTAAGGTCCCTGGCAAAGAGCCACGTTTATTCTGTCACTGTGCAGAGACTCTCAGCCAGGTGAGCAGAGTGGAAACAGTGGGAACTACCTTTTGGAGCGGCTCCGTTGAAATGAGGAGAATGAAGCACAGATACAAAGAGCCTGTTACAAAGGTAAAAAGATTACTAGGCTTAGCCAGCAGGGATCAGAGGAGAATCCCCTCTTGGACACACAGGCTAATTTAAAACCAACATCGCAATTGGGACCGGCTTTTAGACCAATGCAAGCCTAGGTTGTAGGCCACAGGGCAAAGTGCTTCATTCTTACAAACAAAAGTTGTGAAAACTGAGCAAGGGATCAACTGGCAATGAGCACTAAAACATGGAATACTCTGTCCTAACATGGAAAAACAAGATCATAATTGTTTTTAAGGACCACGTGAAGAAATGAAAGTGCTTTGTGCAGGAGTGGGCGAGCCAGTGTCCACTCCTACCTGTGAAACTGAGGCCCGTCTGGGTATGAGCTGGCACAAGCCTCGCACAAGGCCAGGCCTCAGCTTCCTCATCATAAACCCCAGAGGGCTGGACCAGATGCCTTTTAAGGACTCTTACTCTGTGTGGGCTCCTGAGGAAATGAGTGTTTCCCAAAAACGGAGGAATAAGCGAAGAAAATAAAATGTCCCTACTGAAGAACATCTGCCGGTCACTTGCGATTAAAAACCACAAAATTAAACTAGCATTTACTAATGCCTTTAATTTCTGTACCCTGGCAGAAGGAATAGCACATACAAGATGTTTGTTTATAGAATTAGCAAGAAAATGACAATTTGGTAACATGTGCCTTTCCCTCTTCCTTCACTCAATTTTTTTATTACCCAGAAGAAAAAGAGGTATAAAAACTGCAAAAGAAAAACACAACAGCTTGCGGAAATTTACTGAGGACCCATTTCCCTTTTCTGCAAGCATTTCTGTGACAATATGCAGTTATTTGGGGTGCACAGTACCCAGACTGATGGGACGGTCAAGATCCTGCCAGGCCTTATCTACACAGTGAGGACAGAGGGTATCCTTGCAGGAGACGGGAAAGGGGCTGCCAGTGCAGAACTGAGGAAACGCAAGCTGGCCGCCCTGATCATCACCCACACCTGACGATGCTATCTCTGTTCCCCTTTGACGTGCAGAGGAGCCATGGAGCCAACGTCTCAGCCCAGGGCTAGGCACACGTGGGAAAGAAACATGGGAGCCACTCACGTAGCCCCTAGTGGCCTTGGCTTGCCTGACCTTTTTTTGCCTTTCCTGTTGTGGCCTCTCCTCTACTGCCCTGTGAAGACTGGGGGGTGGCTTCCCCAGGTATTAGTGAAAGGCAGGGAGAGTGCGGGGCCTCCAGATTCTGCCTCAATGAAAGCTGTGTAGCAAGAACTGACAGAATCACACAGCAATGAGGAAACAAAACCCTGTGTTTATTCAGCTAGTATATGACTTAGAGTATTTTAGGTGGAAAAGTCTCTTAAGAAGAGCAATTATTAAAAAAATTTTCCCCCAAGTTAAGGTCAATATTGGGGTTTTTGCAAACCAGAAAATTTTAGTGATAATTGACTTAGGAGTAGATAGTTTAAAAATCTGAAGCAAATGTTTTGGATACAATCTTAATCTTCTCTCCCTTAATTACAGAGATAACATTTAATAGTGGCTTATTTTAGAAAATGCCTCAAAGGAAACCAGAGCAGTTACACTTCTGTACTTTTCCCTTATACCCTACATTGCAGAACATGCCGCAGAACTTACACTTTTGTCTTGGTATCACCGAAACCAGTTTTTCTCCTTTTTGTCCTTTGGCGGGCTGGCGTCCTTTTCCTTTTTCTTTCATTTTTGGTTTTATTTGCAAAGTAGTGAGAAGATAAGGGTGTTTCCTCATCGAAGTCCTCAGAGCCATTTTTCCCAGCACCTCTGCTGCTGGATGGGGTCAGCCGTGGGGAACTGTCCTCAGCTACAAACGGACAATGCAGATGTTTACCGGGGCCGCCCTGCTGGTCCAGGGCTGGAAGTCTACACGGAGATGCACAACATGGGGGCAGCTCGGCTGACACCCACCTGCTTTCCTGGTGTCTCTTCTTGCCACATGGATTTGACAATTTCTCAAGGAACCTTTCTTTTTTTATTTCATAAAGCCCCAAAGTGCTCAGTGGCAATTTATTTTTTAAAGGAAGAGGATCAGAATTCATTAAAAAAATCCGTGATACTCTTTAACTTAACTATAGATCTCAGGTTTAGCTCCTACTGTGTTGTACGTGACGTACGCCCATTACTGTTTGAGCAGTTAATCCTGTTAAGCCTTTTGAAAAGTATAAAGTTCTACATAAAAGAAAATTTTATTTATCATTTTGCATATGCTGAAGAAAATGACCCAATACAAAAGAAACATAAACTATGCCCTATACCTCACCTTTGAACACCAGTTACTTAGTAAACAAGTGTCAGAAAATTCCAGACCATATTTTATTCTTCTAAGACAAAAACATCTCTCTGCATAATGGCTGTGAACATTTCACACGCCACGCAGGCCATGGGTCGATCTGAAAGCACACGTCTGCAAAGGTGGCAATTTTCATAGGCACCTGCATCCCAACACACCCAAAGAACACAAAACCTCCCACGGGCCCACAGTGGCCCTGCTCCATTTCCTGAAGGATGGTATTTCCTGGCTGGTCTGGCTCACCCTCAGGCCACCCTGCTGCCTGGTAGAAAGGGCCTTGCTCCCCCAACAGTGGTTCTCACGGGAAGGCACTACAACTGGGCGAAGAGGGTGGTCACCCCAGCTGTGGGACTTCAGGGAAGTGAAAAGGCCTCACCCACATCCACCTGTAAAATGGGTGCTTTAAGAATTGAGTGACACAAAATAGGCAGAGCTCTTGGCACAGTGCCTGTCCCTCAACAGTGGCAGCGATCATCACCACACTGGCTGCCCCCACAGAGCGGCCCTGTCTTCTGTGGGAAAACCCTTCCAAACGAGTTACTACACTGAACAAACATAAAGTTCCTACCAAGACTGGCTGTGTAGTTAAAGCAAGGCTTGTAATGGAATAATGAATATACAGAGGAATTCATGAAAATCCTACTTTTCGGCATTTTGCTGCTAATGGATAAAAAAATGCTTACAAACAGACAGAACTTTAAATGTATGCTCACGCACTTCTCAGCCTGCTTACCATTTCCATTAGCCACGAGAAGAGGTTCCTACCATGACTCCTTCCAGAAAGAGGAAAAACATTGAACTTGGCCTGCCTGTTGTTGTGTTTTATCACGTGGTGGTATGTTAGAGGAGGCCCTAAGACTTCTGCACCTGTCCTGTCTGCTATCTCTTTCTTTGTTCTCGATTTTCTCTTGTTCAGTGCTCTCTACAGCTCAGTGACGAGGTTCGTAATCAGAGGTACTTTGTGACCAGCCTAATGTAACCTTTGGGAACATCTGCTAAGATGCACTCACTCGGGCAGATTCTTTCAATGGCTAATAACAGCAAGATTATCTAGCGTTACACCTCCAAGTTCATCTTTCCAAAATATTTAAACCCCACTCTTAAATTTTATCTTTAGACAGGCTTTTCAGATAACATGTTCCTGCCTCAGATAAGGAAGCTGAAGCACAAAGAGGTTATTTGTGGCCTGCCCAGGACCACAGAGCGTGACGGTGGCAGACCCGCGAGCTGCACCCAGCACTCCTGCTTCCTCGGGCATCTGCCTTAACAGAGCCAGCAACTCCTGGGCTCAAAGGTTGGCAGGTTCAGTAGCTGGTGCCCCTCAGGGGGCCTAAGCACCACTGTCCTGTAAGTGGTGCATCACTGAGGGCTGCCCTGAGCACTAGAGCATTTGTGTGACAAGGTGTAGGAAGCATGAACGCAACACAGAAATGATGGAATTCTAATCCAGTGAGATGCATCATTTACCATTAAAACAGACTTTTAGAAAACACATATTTGGCTGTATACTGAACCTGGCAATGTCCACTCAGAGTATTTCTGTAATATTGGAATCACTTCTGCACCATATTTTTCCAGTTTGTCTTCAGTGACACCATCAATTTGAAGCAAAACCTCGGGATCAGAAGATAAAGATTCTGTGCATGAACATAAAATCAGGAATTTAAATTACCACCAATAGAAAACCCACTGAATTCATGCTCATTCACCCATTCAGCACGTTTGTTAAGTGCCAACCAACTGCAGAGCACTGGGCGCATGGGCCAATTTTCTACAAGGCAGCTGGTGCCAACAGAGGCAGCAGACAGACCCAGAGGATAGGAGCCCATCATCCAATTCCAGCAGCTGAGGTGCGTTAAGTCAGGGCAGAGAGGGGGAGAGAGCAAAGGACGTGGGGGAAACTAGAGGGGAGACCTGTGCGCTGTGCCTCAGGGTTTAACCAGACTTTGCTCTGTTCTCACAACAAAGACACGCATGTTTCCAGCTCTGACTTCTCCCCTGCACTCCTGACTTGTGTATCTTACTCAAAAAGACAGAAAGTGAGTTCTTACATTCCCCCAACCCAAACCTGTTCTCCCCCTGAGCTTTCTGATTGTGGGGTGAAGCGGGTAATCTGACTTCCAACAGTTAGGCTGTGGAGTCCTCTGCATGCAGATGGCACATCAGTCTTGTAGCTGGACAAGCCTGTCACTCTAAGGACCACTCTGGCTGCTGTATGGGGAATGGATTATGAGGGGAAGAGCAGAAACTGGGTGCCCAGTGGGAGCCACTGAGGACCAAGCGAGGATGCAGTGAATTAGGATGTAGCAGTGGAGACGAAGAAGAGATGGGTTCGGATGCGTTCCGGCGGCTGGTCTGTAGGAGCCATTGATGCACAGGCTGTGGGGAGTGAGGGAGTAATAATCCTTACGTATCTGACTTGAGCAAAGCATGGATTTCAAATCTGCGATTTTCATATCATTTCTGTTTAGATGAAAAGGAGTAGACCTTTGGGACAGACTAGAAGGTTTATGGAGGGAGTTAGTGGAAGATAAAGTGGGAAAGGCAGTAGAAATGCAAATCCTTGCTAGACTTTGTACTTTATCTGGAGAACTGCTGGAGCTTCAGCAGAAGTTTTGATTATTTTAAAAATGTGTATCATGTTCGTATCTGGAGTTAAGAAGACCAGTGAGAAAGCTTCACTAATAGCCTAGGAACAAAATACTGTATTTCATCAACTCTAAGGCACACTTATTCACGGTTTGACTTCCCCGAGGTCAAAGGGTCTTAACAAGTGCTGACGGTGGAACGGCAGCTGCCTGTGCACGTGAGAACTCAGTCACAGCTATTAGCACTGTCGGCACGTCCACAGCGTGACGGCAGTGCTGGCTCCTCACATATTGAGCTTAACGGCCACATAAAATGCCTACAGAAAGACTAGACTGTGATTAGCCTGTGAATGCAGGAGACTGCAGAAATGTAGAAATGGGAAATAAATTTGGCAACTCACTTTAATTTTATGCATTTTTTCATGCATGCAAAGTATAAATAAGTCAAAATAATTTTCAACAAAAGCACTGTGTTAGTTTAATTAGAATTTTTTCTTTTTTTCCAAAAGATTTTATTTATTTATTTTCCGAGAGGGGAAGGGAGGGAGAAAGAGAGGGAGAGAAACATGGATCAGATGCCTCTTGCACAACCCCAACTGGGGACCTGGCCCGCAACCCAGGCCTGCGCCCTCACCGGGAATCAAACCAGTGACCTCTTGGTTCACAGGCTGGCGCTCAATTCACTGAGCCACACCAGCCGGGGTAAATTTTTTCTTTCTTAATAGTTCCTTTAATAAGAGTGTCATAAAATAGATGGCACCTTAGAGTTGATGAAGTACTGGAATGCTCTGTGGAGGTGGGAGTGGGAATAGAGGAGAGAGAAAGCAATGATTGTGAGATTTTATGAAGGAAGAACGTGGAAGGTAATGGATACTACTAGTCAGTCACCTATGTGGTAACTTATTTTCCAGGGACTTTACTATGAGAGTTCTGGTTCAGCCATCTGACGCTACAGCAGTAACTCAGGACGGCAGGTACATACTGACTGAAGACAGAGAAGAGTGCTAGATCTAGATCCAAAGAAGCATAAGACCTCATCTCTTTTCATAAGAAACTTAGCTTCTCTTTGCAAAGACATCTGTACTTAACACAATTAAACATCATACAGGCAGGCAAAAAATGGACAGAAAATCATTAAGTAACATCTGGTGTTAGAGACTGTAATTACCCATATCTAACATCCAGCATTAGAAGAAGGCATAGAATTAAAATTATATCCAAGTACTACATATATCATTTAGAGTATATTTTATCTCAAGAATAAGTTTAAATTGTTGCTCTGGAGCTTTCAATTTAGCGATTAAATAAAAATCCAAAAAGACTGAGATATATTTATGCACCATAGCAAGATTAACTTTTGGCCTATAAATTTATGCCACATAACAGGAAGACTCATACATACCTACCTGCAAGCTTCTTGAGAGTCACAGTGTTAAAGATATTGAAGTAATGGACTCCAAAAACTTTCCCCAGAGATTTGCAGACTTCTGTAAGTTCTCCCAGACACTTCTTAACCACCTCTTCTCTTTGAGATATCTTTGTCACTAAGGCTTTTTGTTTTTTTATATGGCTGGAATTTTCCGTTTCCATAAAGTCTACCTTTGTGAGAAAGAGAGAGAGAGAGAGATCATAGGAACGGGTGGGAGTGCATTTATTTAATATATAATTGCATTTTGGGGGGACACTGCTGTTATGCCAAGTAGACAGTAAGCCCCCTGGGAAGAGGGACTGTGCATTCTCCATCTTTGTATCCCCAGTGCCTAGTATACAACTGCTTCTTGATAAATGATCTGATAACCCATTGAATTCACTTTGATAGGTACTACACTACCTGGGTTCAATTTTAAGATCTCTTAGCAAATTAACAGGAACAGAACGTGTTCATATAAGGCAGTATAAATAAATTCAGTATCCATAAGCTTTGGAAAAGACAGTTTAATTTTCAGTAATATGTTTTTGTCTACTCATTGTGAAGTAATAAAATGAAAGAAACACCGTACCTTTATGTGCCCGTTTAGTAGAGTTTGGGCCTCACTGCCGGGCATCACATAGGCAATCGGTTGGTCAACAGCATTGATAAATAAGTCTTCATCCAAGATCTTGTCAAGTATCAGCTTTTTAAAAAGCCTCTCGGCGTTGTGTCGTGAATACGTAGACCCCTTTCCAAATATCCCCGACTGAATCTTTGCATTCTTACTCCCTGGTGAGGAGGTAAAAGCAGTTACATTAGTCAATGTAGGTACCTTATAACCCTCTCTTAGAAGAGGCTGAAAAGGTCATTCATGGGCAGGCCTGGAAGAATGAGATGAGTGACCTACTTCACAGGGAAAACCACAGCACGGACACTCATTCCCACGAAATGCCAGTATTTCTGGAGAACTCTAAAATTTCTACAGTTCTATGTACTTTTCCTCATCTTTTTATGACATGCATTGACCAAAAATAAGGTTCATCATTTAGAATGGTACATATCCTATAAAATTGTATCAGAGCAAGGACATCAAAGACAGAGTTTTTGTAAACTTTAATAGCTTCATATCGCTGTGTTCCTATAGGATAACTGCACTGTTTTTCTCGGTACAAGAAGTTTTTGATGATCAATTCTATCAATCCTATCTCGGGTGCTGTACTGAAATCACTACTGTTACTGTTTATAATCGAGGAGTACTAAAGTCTGAACTTCCTGTCACCCTCACAAACGGAGCTCACAGGAACTTCAATCCAAAAGCATCCTGCTCCCCAAGACCATCCTCTTCCCCCGGCCCCGGTGGCCAAGGGCACCACACTGCGCTGGATCCTTGGTTTCACATCCAGCTGCTGTCATTACTCGTGTCCTCATCATAAATACAATTTTATTATTATAAGTCTACTTAGGAAGCCTTCTGACACCGATTGTAATCAGAATTAACAGTTACTTTGTAAAGCGTTAGCACTATTTAATAGTTCCAAATGATTACATTACGACAAACTCCAGACGACTTCTGGCCACATATTTGAATGATTTACATTTTACTTTCTTCGAGTGATTTGTACCCCTGAAATGTCACGCAGGATCAGGACAAGTGCTCTGGTAACGGTGAGCTGGGTGCTGGCGGTCAACCCTCGTGCTGAGGGCAACTGGGAGAGCTGGGTGAAAGAGAACTACTTCTCTTGAAGGCATAAAAGAGCTTAATGAAAAACTGAAGAATGTGTCAGAAAATGTCTGATTTAGTATTAATTTTAGGCATTTAAATGAAAGGCACAAGCAGAGATGTAGCTGAAGGCGTACTTAAAAGGCTATTTAACACATCATTATTTATAATAGAAAAATATATCTTAAAATAAGACTACTTAGATACATTTCATTAACACGGTAAAATATGAATTAAAAACTACTTTAGAATAAAAACATTAAGAAAATGCTAACATTGTTATATCAAAAGAATATAAATTATATGTACGATGTGATAAATACATGATTTTGAGCAAACACAAAATGTTAGCAGTTCTTCTGGAGTTGTTTGTATTTTTTGGTTTTCTATGTATTGCAATGTAGAGTGATCATGTATCAATGTATCACTCTTACAAGAAATTATTTTATCTGCAACCCATTGTTCTCCCTGAAAAAGGTCCAAACTAGAAGGCAAGAATCCAGAAAGGGAAGACCAGCGTTAAAAGCCGCTTTTGTCCTGAGACAGGAGCAGATTCAGAGGAAACAGCTGAGAAACAGAGCAAACCATCTTCCTACTCCGGTCTAGGCTATTAAATTAAAAAAAAAAAAAAAAAAGGAATGAACCTGTTATTGCTTTATGTGTGTAATTACTGCAGTACGTGGGGCAAATGGACAACAGTACAGAGGGGTGTATAATTGAAGGTAACATGCTAGCCCCACCCTTCCCCTCCCCAGGGTCACTTCCCTTTTGTGGACAATCGCTTCTTAAACAGCTTTTGTTTTCCACGCCGTGGTCACCTCCACAACCCATCCTAAGCCGGGCAGTCATTCCACAAGCCAGCCCCCGCCTGACTTTTATCTACTGACCCCCCAACAAAAAGTGAGGTGGCTTTATCTCATGCATACCACCCCCTTCTCTTTACCCTGCTCCAAAATCTGCTCTAATAATACTGGTTCATCTGTTCAGCACTTTTGTAGCTGTAGCCAGAACTTCTGACCAGTCCCTCCCCTCTGTGTATTATTAGCGCCCCAATCCTTCCATGCATTCCCTCCTTTTATTTTTATTTATTGCACTTTTATTTTTATATCATCAAGATTAACACCTACATCCTGTCCTGTCCTCTAGCCATGTTTAAATCTATACGTTGACTCCAACTGCTGTCGCTAATCAACAGCGTGGATGACAAGCTTCCTTCCCCGCTTGGAACTGTGACTCTTGTGCAGCCCTAAGGAGGATGTTTACTGGAACCAGACAAATGGATTATCTTTTCCTAGATTTTATCAATTACTCAAAAACGTGTATCAGTTTTCTTTGTTTTACTTCTGAGGTTGGTTCTCTTTCCCCTAAGTTTCTAAGTGCCTTTCTCCTTCTTTTATTGAGAAGTAACATTTGTGTTCTTTGTTGTCATCCGTAAGATATTTTGTTTCTTATTCCTACTCTCTATTGCTTGGCCCGATTTTCTTGCCTTCCTTACAGTCCGCGCAGAGCTTGCTGGACCTGCTGCAGAGCCCTGTCTGGGACTTCTCCCTGGCCCTCAGTCAGTCCCTCTGTTTACAGTATCCTATGGAGTGCACTCACTTGGTGTGCCTTCTAGTCTCCACCATTACTGATATTAATCTCAGGCCAGTTTGGTTTTGGTTTCAGGGGGGGTCCAGAATATGCCCCTTGACATAAAAATTATTGGGCAACAGGCATTTGAGTTCCTGAAATCTCAAGCACAGACCTCCAAAAGAACTCAATCTATTGTCATAAATCTCCTCCTTGGGAGCAAGCACGTATGATAACTTACCATCGGAAATCAGAAGTCTCCACATCAAGTCTAAACAGACACTGTCAAAAAAGACTCCTATCTCCTTCCCCCATATACTCTCCTAAAGGCCCATTTATCTTTCAGAAAAATCACTTGTTTTCCCAGAAGTGTCCTTTCCCCTCTCCTCTTCTCTTAAAATGGTGTTTAGGCCCCCAAATCTACCTGACCCTTTGAGTTACATTTCTCTATGAATTCCCTTACATACATGATTAAATCTGCCTTTTGCCAGTTTAATTTTCAGGCTCCCTACTACTAAACCTAACAGAATGGAGGAAGTTTTTCTTCCGTAACATCTCTTTATTCTTGGTATTCTTTTTTCTTTTTAATTTCTTGTTTTTTAGTTTCTTTTTAAATTTATTACTCTTGGTATGGTATTCTCAAATCTTATGAAGCATCCGATTTGGCATTCAGTGGGCATTTTAATATGAAGGCCTTTTTCTCTGCCCCTCTGAGGAATTTTCTTACATTATTGATTTGATAATTCCTTCCCTCTATTTTCTATTTCAAAAATGTTATTTGTCAGATTTCATATCTCCTAAGAATTGATCTTCTATATTTTTTCTCTCATATTTTCCATATATTTTTTTGCTCAGGTCTTAAAGGAGTTTCTAGGCTTTATCTTCTAACCATTTCACTAACTTTGCCAATCATCCAAAAATTATTTATTTATTTTAAAAGATTTTATATATGTTTAGAGAGAAAAGAGAAGGAGAAAGACGGGAGAGAAACATCAACGTGCAAGAGGAGTATCGATTGGTTGTCTCTTGCACACCTCCAACTGGGGACCCGGCCCCCGACCCAGGCCTGTGCCCTGACTACAATCAAGCTGGTGACCTTTTGGTTCGCAGGCCAGCGCTCAATCCACTGAGCCACACCAGCCAGGGCTCATTTAAAAATTTTAATAATAGTTCCTTCTCATTCATTTTTTTTCTTTTCCAAAACATTGGTGAAGAGTTTCCTCTTCGCTTTCCCCAAAGCTACTGCCTCTTTTCTAAGTTATCTCGAGCCCTAGGGTAACACATTCTACCTATTTGGTCTTCTTCTGGATTGTCTGTTTATAGTTAACCTTCAGAAACCAGGTTAAACTACTGTTACATCGTATCTATGTCTATGCCCCCAGATTCATCCTCTGAGTTGGGAAACCCAGTCATCAGGTTTGCTTTCGAGTAAGTAGGTAGGACCAGACCTTAGACGGGCCGGGTGCCTGCCACATGCCACCTGGGCTCTGGTCCCTCACTCAGCTGCCTTTCTAGTCCTCAGGCAGTTTGTTTATTTTTGATCCAGAATCAATGCCAGGCTGGTATTTGATGCAGCTCTTTTGTGGGTAGACTATTTGAACTGCCCCCTCCTATTTCAGGCTCCCTTGCTTTCACTCCCACACCCCGCACTTAAGACTCCAGGCCCGAGACCTAATGATAATGGGTTTTTGTTTTTGTTTTTTGCCTGGTTGATAGTCACTCCTCTGTTTCAACTCTCTCCTACACTTATTTTGTATCGTGGTTTATTGCATTTCACTCCACTTGTCAACTGCTTCCATCCATTTCCTCAACCTGAGGATGGCCTCTCTCTGGTTCTCTATGCCATTATGGATTTAATTCCTCATTTTATTTCCTTACTATTATTCTGACAGGACATCAAGAAAGAAAAAAAAAGAGAAGACAGGTAACTTAATGCTCAGGCTGCCATCTTGAACTAAAGGTAGGTCAAAAGGTAATTCTCTAAGCAAGTTATATTCTACTCACTCAGACGAAACTGTATAAGCTTTATTTTCGTTTTTGTATGTGAGAACTCATTTAGTGACATATACATTCTATAAAAATAATTGGCATAATTCATAAAAACTGGTTTTCTTTTGTTACTAAAAAAATGTTTTATCCTGAAACCCTTCACTTCTATAAGAAAACAGATGACAAGAGAATTCTTTACACACTCAACTGATGGAAGGCAAACTAATAGAACAGATGACTTACCCAAGAAAATGTCGACCAGCATATTCATAGTAAATCTCCCACAAGGACCTACATGCTTTGTATTTCTCATTCCTTGTGTTGAACTATGTTCTTGAACAAATCTTACAATACTTTTTACATCGTCAGTCACATCTCGTGTCTTATAAGCCTATGAATAAAAAGAGGTTACCTTCTGTGATAACGAAGATGACACCTAGAATGCTAGGTTTACTAGTCATGTCCTAATAAACCTTTTCCAGACCAAAACCAAGGAAGTTTCAAATGTTCATTCTTTTCTCAGTTCTTACGTTAACCTTGTGTCTGCAACAACTAGCACTCTACTGTATCCCTCTCACTGCCGCGTCACAGATCCACCATCCCCATCACCATAGGGTCTCTCTGCGATCGTCTGTCCCAGTTCCCCAAACCAACGGCACCAACCACCTGTGCTTCCCCGAAGCTGCGCCGTGCCCCTGTGCCCCTGTGCACGCAGCTCCCCGTCTTCGAACCCTTGTTCTCCTGCCACATTTCAACAGCCTGAAAGCTAATAGGGCTCTCCTCTTTCACAAACAATGGGTGTGATGCTGAGGCTCTATCTAGAATCATTAGGAAAAAGTCCCCTGTCTGTCTCCCGCATCTTTCCTGCCCTGCTTCGTGCTGACTCAGTACACAGAGACGACCCTCCCACGCCTGGGCTGTCAGCATCTCTGCTCCAGTGATCCTGTCCTCCACGCACGCCAGCGACTCACTCCCACGGTAACACCCACTACTTTAGTCAAACTAATCACGGCAGCTCTTCTTCCTCTGACCACCACCTCCTGCCTTTCCAAGTCACACCACCTAGTGTTCTGACTCCAACAATCCAGTAGAACTGCCTAGCCATTGAGCCTCATCCTCAGATGTTCGTCTAACTCAGCTGCAATCCCACGGATGAGCCTCCTAACACTACCTTTCATATACCCTCAGCTCCCTTGTCCTTAGAAGCCCCACTGTCACATTGCCTGACAGAACACAGCACATGCAGTTCTCCACCACCCATGTCTCCACCTTTGTAGCTAAACTTAGCTGGAGAAACACACAAACACACGCAACCACGCTGACTGTCTGCACTTTCAATACATGGCCACAATCCTCAAACGGACCCTTGACACTGCCCACTAATCTCCTTTCCTCCTCAGTCCACCACTCCCCCATTGTCTTAGGACAGGAGTCAGCAAACTATGGCTTTGGCCAGGAATGCCCACATCCAGAGAGCTGCTCGGCTAACTGCCCTCCTCAGGGTTTTGCTCAGGTGTCATCCTTATAATAACGCTTCCCTGGGCCACCTTATCTAATGCTGCATCCTGTATCCTGCCTCCTTACACTGCTTTGTTTTTCACTACAGTTCTTACCATCAACATGGGCCTATTGTGCATATTGTCTGTACTCGGCCTCCCTCTGTTAGAATGTAAGATCCTCAAGGGATCTCTACCTTTTGTTCAGTGATAAACCCCAAATTCCTAGAACAGTGCCTGCCATAGAGGAGGCACTCAACAAATATTTGCAGAATGAGTGACCTGATTAGCAATGTCTACGCAATGGGCGTGGTGGGTGGGGATGGCCATAAATGCGCAGATTCCACCCAAGAGACACTGAGCGACCTCTGCTCAGGCTTTGTAACCGTGCTGACCACATATAAGTTTGCCTGTCTGTCCTCCAGCTTGCCCTTACCACTTTCATTTGTGAATCCCCAGCACCTTACATAGACATTTCAAATAATATATCAAATGTGAAAATGTTCTGTAAACTGTAAAGCAGACATTAAAACATAGAATTAGCATAATAGGCACAATGAAGTACCCAATTTATCTAGGTTATTTTTAGGACAGATGACAGCAAATTCATCCAGAAGCTATTGCCATTACTCTTTACAGTTTAAAAAAAACAAACAAACCCTGATTTATAGAATAACCTAATTGATCTGAATTCAAACACATGGTAGTCCGGTTATTACAACTCTTTTGAGAACAAGATCTCTAAATACAGATTAGAGTTAAATTGAAAATACTTTACCTGCTCATGTTAGATGTTTTTGATATTTAAAGATTAATGATAGTTCTAAAACATCCTATAATCATCAGTGCACGTATATAACCTCGGTATTTTGGATAAGTCCAGTACATTTCTTATGGCCTTTTAACTCTAAAGATATTCTTTAGAATTAATATTAAAATATTTCTATTTCAAATTACTATGGGGAGGAAGTAATCTTCCTCATTTAATTCCTCAGGGTCCATTATTTTCATCTAACTTTTCTTTTTTATCAAGGAAAGGTTTATTGATTGAGAAGGCCTAGCTAAAGAAGATGTGAAAACTAATTCTCAAATCCGTCTTTCATCTTTTTTACATTAAGAGGAGAAATAAAATTTTTCTTATTTTACCTTTGTATTACAGCAATTATCACAAGAAACATCTGGGTGTTTCTTACAAAAATCAGGATTAAATCCAATTTCACCAAAGTAAGCCAAAAGCTGTATTCTCCTGCATTCTGTTATATTTTCACAGTAATGCACCATACTATACAAATTATTGAAGTGAGTCTCTCTTGTATGATGGTTTCCATCTTTTTCCACTAAAAGAAAGGAAGAACATAGCAAAACATACTTATCAGGGTAGAAAATAGAAGAGAATATCACAGAAATATTTAAAATAATCATATAACTTGAATATTAAATGAAGTAAAATTATTAATAGCATTATGTACCAACATGACATCATTCTACATTATAATCAACTGAATATTTATGTTAATCCCTTAAGATAGTAGTCTTATAGGTACACATGTAGATTGTTGGTAAGTAGGTAAATGTTTTTGCAAATCTTCACTATTCCCAATGATGAAGACTTGCATGATATTAACTATATTTATCAGATAAGCATGCACTGAGCTGAACGGCAAAAGCAGAGCATGGAGCTTCAGCAGTGGGCTGCGCCCCACTGAGTATCTGGGGTCACAGCGGTTAATCCAGTAGCTCTGAAAGTGTGCACCAAGGAGCCTAGTGTGCTGCCGTGACCTCACGGGACACTGGCAGGGCATTTCAAATTTTAGGGGAACAGCAATACCTGACATCTGTGGAACACCGTTAAACTACCAGTTTGAGGTAGTTCATGGAACACTACATTCCTTTCAACAACATTTTTGTGATGGTGAATTTCTGGCAGTTCTATGAACAAACAGGTACCTCCAGAAAGTCAATGAGAAGCAGAAAATGAATGTGGGTGGCAGTGTCTGATCTGATTCTAAGGTTCGAGAACAACATGTACATACTTTCCATTTGTATGAATTGTGGTCAGTTAAGAATGAAATAGAAGACATTCCCCCTCTAATTTATGAGTTTTCATTTTTCAAATGGCTCCAAGTGTTTAGGACTTAAATACTTATTAAATTGTTTGAACCTAACTTGATATAGGTTCCGTTAAAAAACAAATAGACATCCTAGGCTTGAGAGTTTCACTTTTGCACTGAGAATCACCTTGGCACAGCGCAGGGGTCATGGACCATGGAGTCTGGTGACCCGGGCTGCTCCAGGCTCTGCCACTCCCCAGCTCTGCACCTCATTTTCTTCCTCCATAAATGAGTACCGGCAGCTGGCATTCTTCCGTTGTTGTGAAGAGTGAATGAAGTGATGTAAGTAAAGCACTTAGGTCAGGAGCACATGGTAAGTGCGAAAGAAATGCTGAGCCTCTAAATAGCACTACCACTCTGTCAGCCAGCCCTGCTGCTGTTACTGCTGCCTCAGCGCTCTTGGGGGCAAGTCAGAAAACCTTTCTGAAGCCCACTTTCCCACGGGACTAACTCTCCCCCAAAAAGCCAGTGGTTAGGAGCAAATGCGGGGATATGTTACTCGGCAAAGTGCTTGCTAAGTGCCATTTCTCAGGCTCAGTATCTCTGCCAAAGTGCATTCAAAAGTGGCCTCAAAGTAGGCAAATATATTTAGGAAACGTATTTATTTAACAATCCCAACCCAATAGCAAAGTGGGCAAAATAACATAATAAAATTCTAAAATACGTATTCACTTTGACCCAGCAAGTCTAACTCTAGAAATTTATCCTATATAGGTAATTGCACAAATGCCCAAAGATATCTGTACAAGGATATTCAATATCGCACTGTTAATAATATTGAAAAACAATCAAAATAATCTGTTAAAAGGGGATTGATTACATAAACATGAAACAACCATACAATGGAATTCTATATACTCAAGCCATGCATAGTAACTGGAGTCATAATTACATCTTAGTGTTGACTGGAAAAAAATCAGGTATCTATATGTACGCACATATAACACAATCCTATTTGCATTGTAAAATACATGCATTTGGGAAAGGTAAACACCAAATATAAGATATTTCCTGTCCCTAACACGGGGTAGAGGCATGACATAGAAGACAAGTGTGCGCGCGCACACACACACACACACACACACACACAGAGGAGGTTTTGGTTCTTAACCTTGATGGTGACACATGAGTCACTATTCTTCCCCTTTTCCTTTTCTGCATGTTTAGAAGATGTGTTATATGCAAGGATGCAGACAGAAACTAGGTCTAGAAGAACAGAAAGAAAACCCATAACTAGAGTTATTTCTTAGGGCAGGAAATGGCATGGTTTGGAAATCTTCTGTCTGATACATGTCTGTATCCTTTGAGTTTTATATAACAAGCATGTAATACTTTTATCATAAAAATGAATAACTTCTGTATTTACATAAGCACCTCTATTTTTCTATGACTATTTAAGGAAAACTGGACCAAAAGTACAATAGCAGGAGTAGATTACCACTATCATGCATCTGAGGACTTACTCAGTATAAGTCTCTTTAGTCTAGTCACGTCGTAATAGGTATAGAAAAGCAGGCAGTGAGATATTTCCCCGTCTCTTCCAGCTCTGCCAGATTCTTGGTAATAACCTTCCACGGACTTAGGGAGAGATGCGTGGATGACGAATCGCACATCAGGCTTGTCAATCCCCATCCCAAATGCAACTGTCGCACAGATAACCTGATGTAAGAGCAAAAGCCTATTAGACTCACAATGCATTAAAGGCACCATTCTTTTGCTTTAACATGTACTCTGTACAACAACCTCCCATCTTAACTTGGTCCAATTATTTAGCATGGCCAATAGGAGGTTTCCACATTGGCAATTTGCAGTTTTATTGAGACCCAAGAAGGTAAAGAGAAAGCTCAGTGTGGCAGGCACGCTCCTGTGTGACTTGGTATTATCATAGAAGGGAGTCAGAATCAACAGCAGTCGTCTCTCAGTGCGCTGCCCCTGCCTGTTCTCTCATGTGTTTGAGATGGAGGTGGTTGAAGGTGTCGATCCCACCGCCGGGGTATCCAGGCCAATGCTGGGCGGGAACACCGGTGCTCCCAGGCGTGGGCTCCCAGAGGTCACTGCTCCCAGCTTCTCTGATGAGTCAGGTAAGGTGGCATTCTCACCTGCTTCAGTGCTTTACCACCCGTTCTCCAAGTGACAGCAGCTCATCACATACCTATTCCTTTTATTCGTCAGCGAATTTCCAAGTCAAAACATGGAATTTTTATTGGAACTCATGTAAGTAAAAGTCTGAGGGTTGCTTATACTAGAAAAAAAGGCCGGAGACCCTTGATCCTGGCCTACGCAAATTACTTAATGGAAGCAAGGCAAGGTGATAGTTCAACTTCAGGAGATTGATAGATCAGTTTTTAGTAAAAAGTCACTTTTAAGAATATCCATTTCAGTTGCAAATTTAGGACCTATTTAACCCAGACAAAAGCATTATACCTCCAGGCAAAATTACATTATACAAATAAAGCTGTAAATCTTTTTCTTAGCACTTAAAAAAATAAATTGCTCTTGCAATAACAGTATTTCAAAAGCAACTCAACTATCTGGCAGCCAGACTGGGGCTACTGACGTGACTTCAGGAACTGTGAGAACCACAGGAAGGAAGTGCAAGCTATGGAGCACGTGGACAGCCAACGGGTGCCTCCATCAACGCTGGGATTGGCAGCGGCCATCCATCTAAATTTTTGGCGCTTTGATCCAAGACAAATCTCCCTGGTAAGAGGAAGTCTACTGTAGCCTCTAGTAGTAGAGAGACTATGGAACAAGATGTCCCAGCCCACAGGCTGCATGCAGGGTACGGCCCACAGGGTCCCAAGATGCCCTGGATGATACGGGCAAACGACTTCAGGCCACCAACGACGCCAGTTCTTTCTGAAAGCCCTATTTTTTTATAACTGGGAAAACTGGCTTTGTGCAGTTGTTACTTCCTTCTTCACGTCTGTGTTGCTTATAAAGCTTCAGATGACAATCATTTCTTTGTGGAGAAAAACAACCAAGTTTTATTCTAAATCACAAATCTAACAAGATCAAGTCTGTCTAGTTGGTTATATTATTATTCCCTGACTATAAGGATTAGTTGGTCTTAGAGCAAAAACAATTATTGTAGATTTAAAATTTTTTTTAACCAACTTTTGAAAACTGTATTTTTGATCACAGTGTTATATATGTGTATATATATGCATGTATATTGTAGACTATTTATACTGTATGTAGAGTCTGAAATTGAAAAAAATCGGCTTCTTTTTTTGGTCTATTTTTCTATTCAATCCTCCTTTTTATGGTTGAGGTTATACACTTTTGAATTCTATTTTTCGCTACCTTTATCTGTCTTTAACATCTGAACATTTTCCTGTCTTTAAACAATTTCTTCATAAACCATTTTTAACGGCAGGGATGGAGCACCATGATGCACCCAATCATTCTCTCAGGACATTTAGGCCCTTTAGCAGTAAACAGCCCTTAGGGAATATACTCGTTGGGATAACCCTGCTGCCAATTCCACGCCCACACTGCAGGGCTGAGGCCCCCAACGGGCCGCTGTACTGTTCTCCAGAAGGGCTGTCATGAGCATCGTAGCTCCAGCGCCGTCCCCAACAGTTAGTAAAAACTTGCTAATACAAGAGGTGAAAACTGTTTCTCACTGCTTCAAATTTTAATTCTTTTGATGATTAGTAAAGCTGCACTTTAGAAAAACATTTGAATTTAGCCTTTTGTAGTTTTTCCTATCGAAAAGTTTCTTGATAGCCCATAGGGTAACTTATTAAGACTCACGTTTTTCTTTTCAAATTTTTACAAGCTCTTCATTATCTTTTTTTAAAGGTTCTATTTATTTATTTTTAGAGAGAAGGGAAGAGGAAGAAAGGGAGAGAAACATCAATGTGTGTTGCCTCTCACATGCCCCCAGCCAGGGACCTGACCTGCAACCCAGGTGCATGCCCTGACAGGGAATCAAACCTGTGACCTTTCAGGTCCCAGGCCAGCACTCAGCCCACTGAGCCACACTGGTCAGGGCACTGACTTACAAACTTTAAAAGGGTGAATTTTATGGTTAATGAATTATATCTCCATTAACATTTTTTTTTTTTATTTAAGAGAGAAAAAGCAACTTTATAAGTCTTACAAAACATCTGTTTTTCAATCTCAGTCTTATTTCAATGTTACTTGTGGTGAAAACAACTTTCATTCTACACATGCAAGTTTGCTTATATACTATCAAAAATTATCTAATGTATTTTTTTATCTTAACAACATCACCTGGCAGCCATCCTGATTGACCCACTTGTGCTGCACCTCGTCTCTGGCAGAGTCACTGAGCCCAGCGTGATATGCAAGGGCGGCGAGACCGTGCTGCCGTAAGGTGTCGGCCATTGTGTCACATTCCCGCCTGGAGAGGCAGTAAATTATCCCCGAATCATCTGTCAAGAAACGAGGACTTGTAACATAAGTAACAACTCAATTTACATCATGTTCTTTGAAATACATGAAACATAAATAGACCTCCATAGTTTTCTTACAGGAAGATCACTTTGGTAGAATAATTCAAGCAAGAAACTCATGAGCTCTGAAAATGACAAGATTCGACCTTTAACCCTGTCCCTGCAAACCACTCTTGATGTGAAGCCAGACACACCCTGGGCTTCATTTCACATTGGCTATAAAAACAGGTTAAGGGTAGAAACACAGAATATTTAGTACGCAAATTCCTGGAAGAAAATAAACCAAAATGTCAACAGTCACTTGCCTTGAGGCGAGGTTTGTCTTTGGCTGCCTTCTACATGTTCTTCAATGAGCATGTATTAAATTTATTGTTTTGTTTGTTATTTTTCAAGTCAGGAAATAAAAGGTATTAAGAAAAAGTCATCTCTCTGTGGCAGAGCCAAAGGTAGAGATACGCACACCTACTGAGCCACTTAAGTAGCTGCCTGGAAAGGGAAATCACTGACTTCTTCCTGGTCTGCTTCTACTCTGATTTGTTCAAACCAATTCGTATACTAAGTTTTAAAAAACGAAATAAATCTGTTTAACAAAAAACCTTCTCCACTGAAAAGTCGGTTACATGGAAAACTACCATGAATTTCAGAATCTCATTTTAGCTAACACAGCTTAAAGGCAGGCACACTTGGGAGAACGCACTAAAACAAAGACCTGCCTAATGCATACAGTGACAGAAGCCAGAGGAAAGACATGGAAACCACAAGTTACATTACAGGGCCGGGGCAGGGAGTACTTAATATTTTTTTGTTATGGTTTATTGTCATCAAACCAAATGAGATTTTACAATACCCAGAACTGAGAGAGTTGTGATGTTCTGCTCTATAAATAGCAAGTTGGTGCTATCATAATGAGAAACGTTTAATGTGCAATTTTATATATTCTATTGTGGTACTAAAAAGACATTTATCTTCTAGACATAATTCATCACATGGCTGTACTCACGTGGGTGATGCTTTCTGATCCACTCTAAGCAATCATAAGCCACCTTTTTAGGCTTTTTTGGTAACACATAGTATTTTAGATTGTGTCTGTTAAAGCTCATGGTAAACCTAGAAGAAGTCCCAAACATAAGATTTTGTTAGGAGAAAACACAATTTTAGCAACCCTCAAAAATTAAATGCTAACATTCTACAGTGCAAACCTATTTATCAGGTTGCGTTACACTGAATATTGCTGCCAGCAGCTTACACAAGACCAGCCCCTTTTCTTTCCCTCAAACAAGTTTCTCAGAAGATGCTTACGCTTCCAGCCAACTAGCCATGTGTTCCATTTGTTCTCTGCACCTTCATTCTCGCTTTCCCTGGTACCATTCTACCAAAGCTGCTTTATCAAAGTTTTTAAAAGTAAAGAAAGCTGAGAGAATTGTCACGGGATCCTTGGCCCGGTAGGGACCCTCCACTGCTCCAGGCTCCACCATCTCTGCAGAAAGGAATTAAATTTAGAGCACCAGACCTCCCAGTGCCTGGGGCTGATGGTGAGGCTGCTGCTCTAACAGGGCACGGAAGAAACAGGGGAATACAAACCACTGGCTTTTCGTCTTTGAATCTAAATCCAAGCTAGAAGGGTCCAGGTTTGGTAGCCATTGGTATGATACACGTGTTTGGCTTTAGTGGGGGCGGGCACGTTGCTGAAGGGACTCCTGCCCAGGTAGGAGGGCCACAGAGGAGGCAGCAGTAACCTTCCACCCGTGTCTGGTCTTTGCGCTGGTCCGTTTTCAGACCTTATCGTCTCTGACCTCTCTGTCCCGCCACATGGTTGGCTATCCTTACTGAAAACCTATTAGCTCTCACGATTTTACATTCCCTTTACCTCTGATTTCTTCCTTTCCTCTTCTCCTTTCTTTAAACAGTGCCCCGTACCATTTCCATGAGTCCCAACTTTTGCCTCCAGCTTAGTCCTGATGGGTGCACAAATGACTACACTAAAAACCACTGCACGGCACACTTCAAATAACTGAATTGTACGGTATGTGATTTATAGCTCAAAAAAACTGATATGTTAAAACACTGGACATAAAAATCTGAAAAAATTTTGATTTGTGATTTGTGACATAATTGAGGAAAACTTAGAAATGTTTACTACTTTAGCCAGGCAAATTACTTTTAGTAAAAATAAAAAAAGAGTGACATATTAGGGCATCAAGTTGTAGCTCTCAGGTCCAATTAACACCAAAACAAGTATCCCTGCAGCAAATGGACTGCTAAACTGCAGCAGATGGGCCACTAACTAAAAGCAGCATTCCTACAATTTGTTAAAATGAAAAAGATAAGTCTCTTGGAGTCGATTACATAGAACTAATCTTACTTGGCCCGCTGGAAAGTGGTATGTTTAAAATTACCATATATTCTAGAGACAGTTGTCATCAACTGATAAATGGATACGTAAAATGTGAACGTCTCTACATTAGGGGATAGTCGCACAACTGTGAAAATACAAAAAACCCCACTAAATTCTAACTTTTACATGGGTGAATTTTACGGTTTGTCAATTATATCTTAAGACTTTGTTTTTTAAAGGAAATGTTGGATTCCATTGTATTTTGCTAAGGGAGTACTGATGTTGCTATAAAAATCTAAAATATTATCAGGTCCAGGGTGTCAAACTTATGTCATTTCGAGTGATGTGTTAGGAAATGGAATCAATTTGTGCTCAGCTCTGGTTGCTTTTGGAACTGAAATACTGTCATGAGGATATGTACTAGTTTATGTGAACTGAAAAACTGTCAAAATTTTCTCTTTTGTACATAAAAATAGGTCTAATTTGGCTGATTGGTGTGGCAATGAAACCTGGACTTGCCAATTAGGTAATATGGTAGTCAAATCCCATTGTCTGAAGGTGCTAATCAGCAGCCACAAAGTTTTAACAAAACTATAATTTAAAAGAATATCACAATAAAAAATGTCAAAAATATATTAGGAGAGGTGTACTTAAACTTAAAGTATTTTGATTTTCCCAACTCTTCCAAATATATTGGATACAAGGTTCCAATTTCTGTGAAAGACTAACAAGAATATTCAATAGTCATTGGTTAAATCTTGGTAAGGTATTTTTTTAAGAGTACATTTCCCAGAAAAAGTGAGTAACTAATGATCTGACTTATTTTGCCAGTAAGATGGTTTATAATTCCTCGCTTTCAACAAAATTTGGAGGACCTAATTGAGTTTTCAGCTGAAATATCATTAAAAATAATTTTTCAGGACAGATCATTATATAATTTTGGCATATACGTCAGAAGGAATTCAAATAATTGAGTGTTATTACTACAATAAAATGCTTTTCATTCCCATTTACACATTTATGTGAGCAATGTTTCTCAATGCTTACATCTATAAAAGAAATTTGAGCTGACTGAATTCATTCATAGACATATAAACTGTTTGGAAAAAAAAGTCTTATCTCCATTAAGTTACATAGCCCCAATCAAAATTTATGCTTAAGAATTATTTTGAAAATATATCTGAATTTGCGGCCACTGCCACGCCACCATTGCTCTCTGACCAATGCAGTCTCTAGCTAGCCGAGCTCCAGTGGAAGGAGGCGGGCTGAGGTGGTAGGAAGGGGGTAAGGAAACAAGTCTCTATACTAGGCTCCTACAAGGCGGACTGCCTGCAAATTGACGGTGGTAAAACGCCATGGGAGCTACTGGCTACCAGAGCCACTCTCAAGAGTGCACCCTCCATTGGAAGGGTGAAGAAACCTTATTGTTACAGGCCTGATATTGTTACAGGCACTTCATGAAATTAGACCTTATCAGAAGTCCACTGAACTTCTGATTTGCAAACTTTCCTTCTAGCGTTTGGTGCAAGAAATTGCTCAGGACTTCGAAACAGATCTGTGCTTCCCGAGTGAAACTACTGGTGCTTTGCAGGAGGCAAGCGAGGCCTACCAGGGTGGCATTTTGAAGACACCAACCTATCTACACCAAATGTCTAACAATTATGCCAAAGACATCCAGCTAGCACACTGTGTGCATAGAGAACATACTTAAGAATCCACTGTGATGGAAAACATTTCATTCAAAAGAAGAATTTCTCTTCTGCCTGTTATTGGTATTTCTGAACATTAGATATTTTATTCCATGGGGTCAAAAAGTACCTAAGCATATGACTGCAAGTGTAAAAATAGGGGACAGAAATCAGGTATTGACAGCTTTTCCATTTTCATTTGTGTGTGATTTTTTTTTAATATAAGTGCAGGAACATAGAGCATTAATGCAAATCAAACTGTTTCCGTGAACAAGGTTCAGCAGCTCAACTTCATAACAATTACAAATAAACCTGTTAAATTTTTCTGGACAATGCAAGCATTTGGATTTTTAAAAAAAGAAATAAATTTCATACTGATGGCAACTAAATGGTGTTTATAGCATTTTTACCATGCAGTAGATCCCATCCATTCAGTATACTTTTCTGAGTTGTCCTACATGCAAGTATGTTTTTAATGTCTTTCTTTTTTTAAGATTTTATTTATTTTTAGAGCAAGGGGAAGGGAGGAAGAAAGAGAAACACTGATGTGTGAGAAATAGATTGACTGGTTGCCTCTCACACACCCCCAACTGGGGACCTAGCCTGCAACCCTGGCATGTGCCCTGACTGGGAATTGAACTGGCGACCTTTTGGTTTGCAAGCCAGCACTCAATCCCCTGAGCAATACCAGCCAGTGCTTATTATTGTTATATTAACTGTCTGTGTGTGTCTCATTTTCTCAGTTCATATTTTAAGATGATAAGAAAAAGGAATAAAGTCTACTTTATTATCCACCTTGTATTCCCAAAAGGAAAAATACTATCATAGCCCAGCATCAGGGGAGGAGCAGGGACACGGCTCCAATCCCACGGACACCTGCCTCCCCCAGGCTCACGGCACATCCGCACCTGGACACATTCAACCCGAACAAGGGGTTGCTGGCAGAAGAGAAGATCAGGAAAAAAATGTACCAGAAAGTGTTTGTTAAAACCTTTTACTTCCACTGAGGGATTTAAACCCTCCCAAATATAGAAGTGCCAAATATATTAAAGAGTCAACAGACTTGCCCAAATTTTCACATTTTACCCACATTTACCCAAATTCCTCCATATGCTTCATTTATTCATTCTTACCTAGTGCCAAGTATGCACAGGGCACCACATGCTAGACTCAGGAAATGTATAATCTATTGCTTGTGTAAGCAGATCTCCTCCCCACTACTAGGAAAAGGTGTTAAAGGTGTCTGCCTCTAAATGTGTATGTGCAACATTTACTCAAACAAAAACGACAAATTCTGTACTTACAAAAAGGTATTCAAAAGGTAAATTGAGCAAATATAATTTCTTTTAACGACGGGCATTTGGCAAATTATCTTACTAATCTAAAAGGGCAGAAGATTGCTTCTGGCATAAATTATGGAAAAAAGCTGAAAACATTGCCTATTAAAAAAAGAAAAGCTTTCATAGATCAATGTAGTAATTGTAGAAGCAAATTCTAGCATGTATGTTATTCAGTAAAACCTAAAGTATGACAACTTAAATATAATGTAATGTTTATCAATTCTGGAGGCAAAATATACCCCGCCCCTAATTTTATACAAATACCCCTCTATGAGGAAGACTAAATTAAAACATTCCATTTAAATTTTGTGGTTACACACACACAATTTTGAGCAATCAAAAACTCTTGCACACAAGAGTGCCATTTTAACCTGCGAAGGCCTTTGTAGCTACTGTGCTCTCAGGACCCCCGTATCCTCCTCCGTGTAGCACTTCCAGTTCTTCTGATAACCCGCTGAGAGATGCTGTTGCTGTTTTTACTGATTACAGTGTTTGCAGCGCCAGCTTATTCTCTTTATTCCCACATGAACAAAAGATGTGCCTTTAAAAATCACCCCAATAAATTAGTCACTATTCATTCAGGCATTCCTCAAACTCAAAGCTCCGTTTTTTAACAGATTGGAGGGAAAAAATATTGGAACCTTTGTATGCAACAGCTGTTAAGTAAATATTTGCTGAGTGAATGAACCCACTGGAGAATATACCTGTGTCTACAAACTCATGCAGAGGTACAAAATGATCTAGTACAACCTATATATGTGGAGTATTTTTCTACTGTAGTCTTTATTATTGCATAATTCTGGATTTGGTGCCAACAAGAAGCCCTTGGCTGTTGAGATGGAAACAAAGTAAAAAAGCTGTTATACATAGTTTCTGGACTTTTTTCAACATTCTGGATGTTACCAGGATGTCAGGGGAAAAGGACAAAGCAGGGCCATCATGGGTTCAGGTCATGATATATATACTCTAGGGTGGATGGGAGCCATAATTAGATAAACAAAAGCGAACTTATTCCTCGGGCGATCCTAGGCCTAACAGGGACAGCAGGTACTTTATCCCTACTTACAAAGTAGGTACCAGGAGAAAGTTTTCATTTCAGTAAGGGAAGAAAAGCCCTAGGGCCATGGTTTCTAAATTTTGCTGCATACTGGAATCACTCGGGGGAGTTTAAAAACATACTGACTCCCAGCCCCAAAATTTTGACTTAACTGGCATCAGGCACAACCTGGGCATTGGGATGTTTAAAGCTTCTAGGTTATAATGCATAGCCATCTGAGAACCACTGCCCTAGGGCTTTAAATTCATGACCTTCAACAACTTACACCTGAGGTCTGAGAATCTTCAGCTGAGTGAGGATGTCCTTCTGTACCCTGGGGTTAGCAGTGGCAGTAAGAGCCATCACCGGAACGGAGGGAAACTTCTGGCGAAGCATATTCATTCTTTTGTAATCTTGACGAAAATCATGTCCCCACTGGATGAGAAAAAAACACTGCTTTTCAGACTATCTGAATCATCCCTATATAGAAAGCAAACACTGCTCACTATATTCTGAACCACCTATTCTTCAGTGAAATAGAATAATTCACCCAATATTCTTTCCCCTTCAGTTCTGAAAATGTATATACAATTGGTAGTATATATTTATCGCTATTTCAAGACATAAAAAAACAGTATTTACCTGACTGACACAATGTGCTTCATCGATAACAAACCGTGCCAAGAGCTTCCTCTCATACAGATTCTCCAGAGTAGAAATTAGTCTGTTACTTGCACAGATCTAGATCAGAAATGGATTAAACATTTAAAAACATTTAAACCCATCACCTCAAAGATTTTGTTGTTTTTAAGTTCCACTACAACTTAAGCTGCATTAGTCTACGGCCATACCACCCTGAACGCACCCGATCTCGTCTGATCTCGGAAGCTAAGCAGGGTCGGGCCTGGTTAGTACTTGGATGGGAGATAATTTAAGCTGCATTAAAACCTTCAGAGAATATTAGTTCTTATTCCAACCTATGACAAGAATTAGCAGAAGTAATAGAAAATAGCAGAGACATTCTAGAATGTTGAGCAAACAGTTTTGTATCAGGTCAGTCAGTGGTTCTTAAACTTTTTTTCTGGATTACAATATACCTGAGGGCCATGTTTACACTGGGGACAGTGTTACAGATATTTTATTTGCAGGCATGTTACTTGGAAGGGGTGATACACACACACACACACACACACATATTTATAAATATGTGTATATACATATATTGCATGTATGTATATATTTTGTGGCTCTGATTATGGCAGGGCCTAGAAAAAATGACATCCTATTATCAATGACCACATCTGGTACTCACATCTTGAAAGACATATCAAAAGGATACGAAAGCCAGTTTGATGGAGGTCTTTCACTGGCCAAATCCAGAACAATCAGAACATTAAGTTACATAACAAATATCGATTATAGCCCACTATATAAATTAAACATCCACACTTTCGTAGTAATATAAATAAATACACAGGTAAAAGGGAAAGCTCTTCATTATAGTAAAATGCCAACTAAATTAAAAAGGTCCTTTGGCACTCATTACAATAATTAATGGGGAATCATCAATGGATGATATAACTGTTAGGTAAAAGTCTGATGAGTAACAGGATATTTACAGTCTCAGAGTATCCCACAAACTACTGATTATTACAAAGGCTAACCATTTCCAAAAAACTTGTATTACAAAAAAAGAGAAAAAACTGATTTTACAGTGAAGAAATCCAGCAGACACCACCTAATAGAATGAGCTGACATCAATGCCTCCTGATAAGACTGCACTGAGAAATTACTACCACTTCTGACGTTTCTGCTAAGATGAATAACTTGGATCACAAGGAAACGTAAGATTAACTTAAACTGAGGCACAGTCCTCAAAATAACTGGCCTTCGCTCTTCAAGACTGTCAAAATCATGAAAGACAAAGAGATAAATTGTTTAAAGAGACACGACAACTAAATGCAATGCATAATCTAGGATTTTCTTCTGTTATAAAGGACATTATTAGAACAACTAGTGAAATTGAAGTAAGGTTTATAGACTAAGTAACAGTGCTGTATCAATGAACACTTTCTGATTTTGATAATTCTACTGAGGTTGTATAATAGAATTCGTTTTTAGGCAATGTATGATGAAGTATTCGTGGTTAAAAAGATATGTCTGAAACTTTCAAATGTTTAAAGGAAAAAATACAGAGAAAGAATGATAAAGCAATTACAGTAAAATGTTACCATTTGGGGTTTCTGGATAAAAGTCATACAGGAATTTCTGCATTATACTGTATGGCACAAATACATCAAAACTTAAAAATGTATGTATTCTAGTGAGCTTTTAGGAGGTAACAGAAAAAATATAGTGGTTTCCACCCTCAGATCCTGGCAGTGAGCTCCGGGAGCCTGCGGGGCTTCCTACGTGCTAGGGCACCTGCAGCCTCTCCGACTCCGCTGAGGAGACACTGGCGGGCTCCCGCAGGGCGCTGGTCCCCGGAAAGACCGGGCCGTGGTGAGGGGCCGGCAACCTTCATCCCCGCCCCCACCCCCACCCCCCAACAGGGGAGAGGGGCTGGAAACGGAGTCAGTAACTGACCGTGCCTGCGTGAGGAAGCCTCCATAAAATCCTGAAAGCATGGGGCTCCTGGTTTCCAGGCTGACAAACACGTCCACACCAGGAAGGGGACACCCCCAGCTCCCCGGGGACAGAAGCTCCTGTGCCCAGGACCCTCCCAGACCTCACACTACACACCTCTTCACCAGGCTGTTCATCTGTATCCTTTTATCACGTCCTTGAATAAACTGGTACACTTAAGTGTTGTTCTGAGTTCTATGGGACTCTATAGAAAGTTAATCAAACCTGAGAAGGGAGTCATAGGAACTTCTGATTTGTAGTCAAACTGGGCAGAAGTTACGGGTGACCTGGAGACCTACTACTTGTGACTGGCATCTAGAGTGGGGTGGGAACCACCCTGTGGGACCAAGCCCTTAGCCTGTGGGGTCTGACACCATCTCCGCACTGGCAGTGTCAGAACTGAGGCAAAGTTAGGACACCCGGCTGGTGTCCTAAGAATTGCTCGGCGGAAGGAAAAAACCTCCATACATTTGGTGACCAGAATGAAGAATTCTATGTGAGTAGGAAAGGAGAGAAACACAGGAGAGTAATACTGGATTTTTCCCTACTCAGGGGGGAGAACTGAACTATTTTCTAACACAGATTTAATAACATATTTTAAAATAATGGTATCATACAAACCTTCTCTGGAGTAACATAAAGAAGTTTTATAATTGGGTCTTTTTTTGATAATTGGAGGTAAATGCTTGTAGCTTCTGAGTCAGTCTTATCACCTGTCAGATATGTAGCTGGAATCTAAGTATAAAAGTAACAATTAAAATTTTACACATTAATTGGGATTAAGCTTATATTTTACCCTTAGTTTTTCTAAGTGTCTTACAAGTTACATGTCAAATCTGTCAAAGCAAAAGAGATACAGTCCTACTGTATAGCTACATTCTTTTTTAGGTTAACATATCTTCAGGGTTTGCATGCGAGACACCGATGACAGGGCCGTCACATCACGTGTGGTTGAACAATGGCTACCATCACTGCACTAAGACATTCTTTGCAACAAAAATCAAATAGTGGTCTTATTGAACAGTAGTGGCTCACAGCCCTGAGACCGGTTCTGTTTGACCACAATAGGCAGGATTTAGTGGGATGCAGTCATCTCCTTTCTTAACCTCAGCCAGGAGGGAAAAGGACCCATGTGTTCATGTGCATGTGTGTGCACTTTAAGACACTAAGGGAGTAAGATAAGAACGATTATGCTGATCTGGCAGTAATTAAAAAAAAAATCCTTTTGTATTAGTAAAAAAAAAGAAGTCTGTATCAGCAAAATACATTCTTCTAGAATAAAATCGGATTGAACTACAGATGGTTATCTGTATCAGAATTTTCAGACGTGTGCTTAATGTACAACTGAATGTAACTGCTGTACTTTATTCTTATAATTCATGAAGTATTAAATCAAAAAGTTAGCCCAGAGTACCAAGATACAATTATTTTTAAGTTACGTTTTTATTAGTATTTTTATTGTCATTGGTAACCGTGTTTTGTTCTTCACTTACATCTAATGAAGTCAGCTTTTGGACTTGGTCGACTATAAGTGACCGCAAGGGGGAAATGACAATAGTGACTCCCGGGGAAACACAGGCGGGGAGCTGGTAACACAGACTCTTACCGCCTCCTAAAAGAGGAATGACAAAAGAGCGTCTGTCAGGTTCTAGTTTGAGAGCATGAAGGCAAAAGTTACAAAGTAAACCACATATAATATTTAAGATAATTAATTAACAGGACACCAAGTGATATTCCTCACAGTGACAACAACTTGCTATATTCGAATGAGCCAAAACACTTAGGCAATTAACACGTGTATGGATTACCTTTTAGGACAACTCATGTAGGTATTATGACAGCAGAAGCAAGAATCAGGGCAGGAAAATTAAATGCAACAGAACTGCTTTAAAAGTCTACTTGGGAAACCCAAATGCAGTGCAAGGGGCACTCTAGTTATGATACTAGGATTAAAATAATTATTTTATATACTATCTAATTTTTAAAGAGTTAAAATGTGATAAAACATAGAACACTAAAACCCAAAGTTACTATGGTTTAATATTTCTTTGATGACCCAGAGGGCACTTCTAGAATCTCAGTGCTGCTAAACTATTAGCATGAGCATTAGAGCTTTTGTTCCCCATACCCTTGTTAATAAGGAAATATTCCCAATCTTCCTTTGAAGTAAAAGGAGGGTAGAACTACATCTGTGTACACTAACAGAAGATGGAGAGAAAGAAATTTAGAGACAAAAGGGTGGGTGGACTCTCTCTCCATGTAACTCTAATTCAAAATGGCAAGACAATTAATACATGCTTATTGGTAACTAAAATGATTAATCCCTAATATTCAAATTCATCAGTCTAGTAATGGTGGAAACTTGTGCCAGGCAGTTTCTAGGACTTTTGATTTTTTTTTTAAACAACACATGCCATCTTTGCCACACATGTAGTAAGTAAATTTCACTGGGGAGGGTGCGTGTGTGCGCACGCGCACGTGTGTATGTCAAGAGATTAAAACTGTGTGGAAGGACATTTACAAACATGCCCTCAGAACCCTAAAGGACCATGGAAAGACCATTGGACTAGCCAGGCTCATTCTTGCTTTAGTTTTGGAGTACCACCTTGGAGTCAACACAGAATAAACAAGGTAATGAAATATGAAATGATTATTAAACCAACATCCCCTAAATTTTAAAATCAATTTGAAAAAATTCAGATGCCCACACATCACTCTTTAACAGTGATGGCAATAACTAATTGCTTAAGGTCACAACAAGGAGAGTAAGGGACAGAGGAAGACCTCATGTGTAGGGACTGAAACTCCAAACTCCCCATGCTTCTTATCCTAAATGCTTATTTACTATTCTGACGTGGATGGCTATAAATCATTAAACAGCTGTTATAAACGTTTACAGCACAATGAAGAGTCCTGGATCTCTTCAAAACAGGCCAAGAAAGACAGACACTAAATGTTTTGCATTAACGCTCATGACACTCTGTGTCGCGGGTACTTTATTACCGTCCCCACTGCACACACAGGGTTCAGACAGTGAAGCGCCTCACTCCAGGCCACACTGCTAACCAATGGCAAGGCTGTGCTTTCAGCCCAGGCCATCCCCCCAGAGCTGACGATTTTAACCTCCATGCAACACTAGACTGTACCAAGTAAACTGCTAGGCATGGTCGTGTCTCTATTCCAGTCCTACATTTTTACTCACGTTCCAGACTAATTTAGACTAGGAAAAAAAAGAAAAATTCCCAAAGAGAAATTCTAGATCAGTTCAACACAATGAGCTTTGAGTTGGAAATCTTTAAAGGCTGTAAATGTTATCATGTCAGCAACGAGAATAGAGGCTATGAGGTAATATACTTTCTTCCTATGGCACGAGGGCTTAGAGGCCCATAAATGATAGAAATACTGTGTCGGCATTCTTTTTGTTTCTATTAAAGGGCTCTCATTTCACATCTGCCATGGATTCCTGCCAATTCACATCTAAAAATACATACCAGTGGGCATTAAGATAAAACAATCTTCACCAAGCAGTGTAGCATTGATCGCCTCTAGCTGATTAGTTCTAAAATTATGCAGGCCAAATTTTTTATGAAAAATCTTCATCATTTCTTTTGTGTGAGGAAAATTAAGACTTCGGAAATGCTCATGTTTCAGATTTCTGGACACTAAATTTTGCTCCGACTGATCTGAGAAAATAACCAATGGTAAGAAAAAAATCAATGCATTAATGTCACAAGTCAGTTTCAGCATTTACCCTTTGCCCTGCATGATCATTGGCATACCTTTCCCCGCAGCAAATTCCTTCTTTAATTACTGAATTTCCTCCCATACAAGTGTCAAGGCCACCAGAGACTTCCTAAAGGCCAAATTTAAGTCTTTCCTGGATTTTTCCAGAGCGCTACCACTAGCCTTTTTTTTTTTAAGATTTTTTTTTTTCTTTTAAGAGAGTGGGGAAGGTTTGGAGAAAGAGGGAGAGAAACATCGATCAGTTGCCTCTTGTATGTGCCACAACCTGGAACGGAACCCACAGCTCAGGCACATGCCCTGACTGGGAATTGAGCCAGCAAGCTTTCTCTTTGCAGAACAACACCCAACCACCTGAGCTACTGCTCTTTATCACCTCCTTCCTCTTCTCTCTTGACTGACCTTGAAGACAACTGTGCGTTTAAATTCCCCTTCTTGGTTCCACTTCCTCCACCTGCCCCTTAAATGTGGTAGTTGTTCAGACACTTGGGCTGGGTTCTTTAGACACTCTGTGGAATTCTCCTAGTCCTATGATCTTAAGTATCACCTATGTGCACAGAAGGCCTAGATATCTTTCTCAAGATCTGACCGGTCTGTTCCTAAACTGCAGCCCTCTATGCACCTCCAGTTGTTTGCAAGACACTTCTACCTGAATGACTTCTCAACGCTGTAAGCTCAACAAGTCTTGACATAGCCCTCCTCTGCTCTTCCCCAAGTCTGCCTATCTCCTGATTTCCCTATTTCTGTTAATAGGGAACAAGAGGAGCTCACGCCAGCTTTGGCAGTCACTCCAACCCCGACACTCAACTGCCTCACAGATAATTGCGAACGTCAAGTATGACACATTCTAACATGATATAAAAATAAATCCATTAATGGTTGTTTTAAAGGTCAACAGTGTAACTATAAGAACAACCTCTGTGGTATTAAGTCATTAATAGCAAAAATAGAGAGGGTTGTGGTTTATAGAACTTTGCACATCTAAACTTGTTTCAGTTAAAAAACACTTTGTGATAATTTTATAGGGTTGATGTAAGGTTTTAAAATTATTTTTGACTTTTCTCTGCACCCTCTACAGAGGCTAATTTCACTCCTCCAAAAACTTCCATCGCTAAACTGTGAGCTAAAAGAGGGCAGAAAGTATTTATTATTTGTCTATTACTAGAACCTAGAGCAGAAGATGCACATAGTAGGCAACAATAACTATTTGTTGAATGAATTTAAAGGATTCTAGGCCAAAAGACACTATTTGATTGATTTAAGAAATTTGACTTCGCATCTTTCTTAGGCTGCCCTATATTTTAATATTTGAAGACATAAAACATTTCTCTACTTGATAAATTGATCAGTTCTCATGAATCCAGGATTCTAAAAATATACACTTACATTTTTAACACATAAATTCAGCTTTGCTTTTGTCAATCCCCCAAATCATTAAAAAACTTGGTCTTCGTGAGCTTTATTGCTTCAGGGGCTAAAAAAAATGTTAATTAAAAGGCAAAGCACATTGTAGTGACTTTAGAGCTTTACTACAATAGGTTATAATTACACATTTTATGAAACTACAGCTGCTACAGACAAAAGAGCAACTTGCTTTTGAAATTGTGATTTGTAATTCATATTATCAGCAGAAATTTGCATAGGAACAATGTAGTTTTCAGTCAATGATGACTTGCTATGGTTTTTCTTATACAATTCCAATTCTGTACAGTTTTGTTTTCATGTAAAATATAAGCACTCGATTTACTTTAAACTTACCAGTGTAATTCTGAATTGACTCTGAGAAGTTTTTATTTTGAGCAGTAAACGCTGCTGGGAGAGCGTTTGTCTTGCCTGGAGAAATTCTTTCTGTTACTGATTTAACTGGTCGACCTTCTTTAATAGGTTGATAGGCAGCTGTGGAAGATTTGCTGGCTGCTAAGTTAAGCATTATATTTTCCCACTCATCATCATCATCTAAGTCCTCGATGTCAAAATTATCGATCTCATTGGAAGCCTGCATTTCTAAGTCATCTATTGAAGCAGTATGTTTATTCTGATCTTTCACAGCAGTGCTTGTAAGTACATTTCCCGGGAAATGAGAGCTTTCATTTCTTTTCTCTGTCCTTGGTGTTTCAGCCCAGTTGCTACTTACAAAGGACTTCTGTAAATGGGAAGTGAATAATGGTCTTTCAAAGAGATTCTTCTTGGTGGCTGAGAGCCCTGTCTTTCCTGGGGTAGTAGTCACTAAACAGTCCTCAGAACAAATGGAATTTGAGGAAATGGGCAGAAAATGTAACTTCTTATCAGAATTCCCTGTAGGGCAGGAACCACCCTTTGGAAGCGCATAAGGCAAGGAAACAGATGCCACGTGCTCCACGGGGTCACCGACTGCACCAGGCCTGCAGCTCCACACTGAGCCAAGGACAGCGGCCTCACTCCGGTTAAAATCAGCTTCAGCAAGGAGTTTTCTCCTGAAAACACAGAACATCGTGTTAAGTGTGCAGAGTCTACCACAGTAGGCCACACAAATATAGCTTTAGTCCTCATCCCAAATTGCGGCAAAACACGTCCTCTTTTTTCCAATTAAAAAAAATCTGGATACAAATACCTAAGGAACAGTTTGAAAAAGGAAATAAATAAACTTTAAGACATAGTAACAATATATCCTTTTCAGAGTGCCTAACACTTTTGCCCTGTATGTTTCTCATGCAGAGTGGTGGAAATGCAGTCAGATAAACTCCAGAAGGAGAAAAATCAAGATACCTTATGTCCCGCTGCTGGAGCAGGTCGTTCCCACAATCCAAAGCTTTCAGTTCATCGTCAGGAATGGTATCAACTAAGTTACAGATGTGGACCATCACTCGAACAAGCTGCTGCTGTAAACTTATCTCTCTATCTATAAAGTAATTATGGTGTTAGTATTTCTCCTTGAAAACAGAGAAGACTTAAGATTTTCAAAGTCATGCATGTGAAATCTGAAGTAGTCTAAAAACAAAATTATAAGCAACCTCATAGTGTCCTTATTAACTGCCTATGGAATAATTTGAAGTCAGATTGTCTCTATTCCATATCAACAAGAGTTTATAACTGTGTCATCATTTAACTTCATGGTGATTCTTAATATTTCTCTCAGGGTAGCCAAGGTCGTTGGAACATAAAAAAGTTTTATCAATTTAGTATGATTTTTTACTCACTTTAGGCGTAAATCTCACCATGGCAACACCAACTACCTCATAAAGGGCCACCCAGGAACTGCCCCCCAGCCACCACTGTTCTGGTCTGCCCAGCGCTCCCCTTCAGCGGTAACAGCACAGCACCCCGACTTTCTTCTCGGAGACCATCCCTCCCCACTCCCACAGTGGGCTCTTGGCGTCAGGCAGCTCAGTGAGAATGAGGTCGAGCTTCCTGGCTGGCTGGAAAGGAGGGCCTCTCTTTCCAACAAGCTGGGCAGACTCCTTGGAGGCCCTCTCTGCCCCCACAGAGGGAAGCACGGCTTGGAAATAAGACTAAGCAGAAAACAGAGATGACAGGAATGGAGGACTGAGATGGAGAGAAGAGACTAAACAGGCAGAGAAGGCAGTTGTGAGAGAGAGAAATGCATGATCACAATTTTTGGGTAGCTGAATCCATCCAGCCCACTCCTCATTTATTTGTTTAACCATGTATTTGAGAAATAAAATGTCAGAGGAGGAGAGGCTTGAGATGAAGGAAAGGACACAAGTGGGACAGGGAAGACAATAAGATGCCTACACCACCCCTAGGGCTAAGGCAGACAGGAGAAACAAGCAGTGCAGGTGGGCCGCAGAGGACACCGCATTCTCAGGAGACAATCAGAGAAATAAGGGGAAGAAAATGTTTGGAGAACAGAATGAGGCTATTGGGAAATAGAGGAGCCAGTGCAGTCAGTTGATGGGTCTAAAGCGCAGAAAGGAGAGGAAGAGAGAACAGGTTAGGGGCTGGACGGAGCCATGTGGGAGCAAGCGTCTGTGTGATAATGTGGGCCCTCACTGGTGACTGCTGGAAACAGGAACACGCAGTATGAGAAGGTGAAAGTGGGACTGCGGAACTCCTACTTTACTTCTGTTTTCTCTGCAAGGAGAATGGACATGGCATTGGAAAGAAGAGAACAAACAATGGTCTGAAGGAAATGAAAGCCAAGACAGGCTCAGAGAGAGATACAGCCATTGGAAAGGAGCTCAAGTCTCCTTGTCTAGACAGATTACACTCTGGAATACAAAGGAAACCTGCAAACAGATTTCGATGATATGTGAGGCCTCTAGTGAGTAATAAAGTTGATGGAAGAGTGAAGACAGGCAAACATTGTTCTAATTTTCAAAAAAATCGCAGAGTGAGTGCCAAAAGCTACAAGCTGGTGATCTTGATGTTAATTCAAGGCAAAATTCTAGAACATGTTATCAAATGGCTTCTTTGTGAGCACTAAGAAGCAGAGGAAACAATTATAAAGTTAGCAGGAGTTCATGAAAATAAGCCAGCCATCTTAATGCTCTATGTTCTTTGAAAGGATTACTAGACTAGCATAACAATAGCCACCATTTATTGAAGGCTTCCAGTGCACTAGGTACTTTACCTTGAATCTTGCCAACTACTCAGCAAATTAAATATTATTCTCCCTGTTTAATGGAAGGAACTCAGGTCCAGAGAGGCTTAACTAATTTGCCACAGCCACTCAGCCAGGGGTAGGAGGGGATAGATTTGTATCTCAGTTCTGCATCACTCCAGAGGCCATGTCCCATCACTTCCCTCTGCTGCCGTCTAATTCTATGACCACGTGTCATTACTTAACTCTCCTGCATCTGCTTCCTTACTTGTAAAATGGGGATAACAGAGTCTACCTTACAGGGCCATGGTGAGGATGAAACTGGTTAATATTGTAAGGCACTTAATAAACTAAAGGAAATTTGGAATAAACAGAAACAACACAGAGACCACCATGTGCGGGCGCACACAGGCATACCCCCCACCCCCTACATCACATACACAGCACCTATCAAACAAGAGTAGAACATATTACAGAAATATCCGGAGAAAAGAGAGCTCTGGGAAATTGATTTGATTAAAATAAAAAATTACATAGAAGGGTTAAAGATAAAAATTGAGGCAATTTCCCAGAAAGCAGAGAAGCAAGAAAAGGGAAACAGAAAGATAATTAATGGAACCCTAATATCCAAATAATAGACGTTCCAGGAAGAGTGAAAAAGAATAAAAGGAAATACCAGCAAAACTTCCAGAATAGGACACAAATTTCTAGACTGAAAGAGCCTCTGAGAAGAAGAAATTAAGATTGAAAAAGGAGACCATTGTTTTTCAGTCTTATAGTACTATTGGATTATTTATACTAGATATTTAATATAAAATATTTTAAGGAATTCAGAAACAAACCCAACAAATAGAAAAGTATTAAACTTTAAGATCCAGGGTCTATACAGGGAGAACTAGGAGGATGTCTAAAAACCTGCATCTATAAGCAGTTAAAAGACCTAATAATATGTAGCTTAAAAAAAAAACCACAAAAACAAAACAACAACAACAACTTCTGGAAGCTTTAAACTTATCTTACAAGAATTGAGTGATAGAAAGGCAAATTTTGGTTCAATACAAGACATAATTTTCTAAAACGTAGTGTTTTCAAAATAGAGAATGAATTACCTTGCAAGAAGATGAGTTTATGACTTTTTAAAATTTTTACTTATTTTTTACCCTCACCTGAGGATATGCTGATTGATTTTAGAGAAAGGGGAAGTAGGGAGAGAGGGGGCTCCAACCAACTGAGCCACCCCGACCATGGCTGAACATGAGTTTACAAGTCGTCTGAGGAATGAACAAGGATGACCCCATTAGGGCAAATGGAATTACAAATTTGCCATCTTATATCCACAGTCACAGGTAAAAATACAATCTTACTTGGTTTTCAAAAGTAAGTAGTTCAAATACAGGATAGGTCTGAAATACTTTTTGTACCGTCACAGTCTGTGCTGGTTTCTTGGGTAGACCGCCGAGCCGACATTTTCTCCGGCTTTGACGAGCCCTCGGGTGTGCTGAGACCGTCCGTCTCTCTCTCACAGGTGTCAAGCTCCTTTAACATACTACAAATTAAAAAAAATACAACCAATGTAAGTGCAGAGCACATCAAATGCATCATTTTTTTCTCTCATATTTCTCCACAATATATAACATAAAAGAGAAACATGTTTTTATATCTTCTCTATTCTAAAACCTCGTAGCTGGCCCTCAAAGTCTTTCATCTTCTAGATGAGGAGAACTTTCCAAATTTACCTTCAATGACGTCCTTTCAATAACCCCAGGCTCCAGCCGCAGACCCCCATACCTGTTCTTCTAGGCCCAGCCCAAGTGCTACTTTTCTGATTTCTCCAGCAGGTGGTTATCCACAATCTCTATCTTCTGAGGTTCCAAAGCATGTTATCCAGACTCCTCTTACACCAACATGTATAATGTGTGTATCTGTATATATAATTAACTTATATACATCATACAAAAATATATTAACATATGTAAACATGGTCAGTCTGACTGGATATAAAAAATACTTTAAAAGTAATAAAATTAGTACTAATTGTTAGAGAGAGGGTACTGTGGTAATCCAAAGAAAGACAACACTTTCCAGAACTTGAGAAGGCTTTGCAAAGGGGGTGGAACTGGAAGAAACCTTAGAGGATGGATATGAGAAGTGACAAACTATAAAGAGATAAAAAAAGACAATTCTAATCACTTGATATCCAAGAATCAACTGCACTTTTCTAAAACAGTATTCTGGAATGCAATCTTCTAACTAAATCAAATAGTGATGAATAAAACTACGCTTTATAAAATGGTAAGATATTGTAATTAAAGAAAGGGCCTTACATTTTTAGCAATGTTTCCCAATTTGTCCCATTGGGCTCATTGGAGCTTCGGGTTATTGAAAGGGCATAACTAGCAATAAAGCTGAAAGGGAATTTGGAGCCTGAAGATGGAGCATTTTAAAGGCCAGTGATAAAAACATGTCTGTACCTCTTCCCTGTTATATACTACCTGACCATCACACTTCTGAAATCAAGCCAGAAGTCACAACCAGCATTTTAAAACAAAAATAAAAGATAAAATTTAAGCGTAGTCTGCACATAAAGCACCATTTGTGAAAATTCTGTATGTTTTATAATGTGCACAAATATGTACACAAGGTTGCAATGGAAAATATACAGAGACTCTACCTCAGAAATAACCATTTTCCAAGGGCTGAAGACCTACGTAAAGTTAATTATAGTATGACAACTCAATATTAATATAGCCATTAATGGGATAACTATAAATAACTAAAACTATACAAAAATATGGGAAATGTTTTAAAAATAATACTCAGAGAAAAGAAAAATTAAAATTATAGTTACACGATTACAGCAATGCAAAAATTATACACATGTAAAGAAAAATCAAAACCAAATGTTTGTTTTGTTGGAATGTTGAGTAAGAATCCTGTTGAAGCGGTTATGGTGTCTTTGGGCAATACACTTTTTTAAAGTAAACAAAAAATCTGGGAAACAGCACTATGCTGGATCTTAGTCCATTCGCCATGAATTTTATCATCTTGGGCCATTCCCTGCTCCTATAGGGCTCAGCTGCTTCACCTGCTAAATGATGATGCTGACTTAAAATCCAGACTCTACATGAGATTTTTTACTTTGTGTAATTCTGTCTGAATTTCTATCGGAAGGGAGAAGAGGAGTGGGCAGCTGTTAACAGTTTTTTAGTTTTGTCATCAAATAGCAATCATGCTTCAACCTTTCCTGCCTCTTCAAACATCCCAAAACACCTGTTAAAACACAAACCGGGAGAAACTAAATTATGCGCACAAACACCTCCTTCCTGCCTTCCTTCCCTAATTAAGCTATAAATTATAGGGACCTACTTCTCATCAAAATATTGGTTAATAGCGTAGTATATGCTCCACCATTCCACGGGACTATGATTTAGGTTGGGGTGAGCACGGAGGCAACAGTGGCTGTTAGTATTTTAAGCTATTGATGAACTGTGTGGGCTATGTATTTTTCCAAAACACTACCAGTTAACCACAACTATGTCCCTAATTTGCTAAAATTCAGTGAATGTCACATACAATAGCCAGTTCTATCCTGCAGGGTTAAAAACATCACTTACCAAGTCAGTTTCCAAACAAGGAGTTAGCTTTGTGTCATTTCAGGTCCAGGAGTTTGGAAATATAGTAATTTTAGGAATATATTCCTCATGTTAAAACCAACTACATAAAATTGTTTGGAGGTCTCATGTAATTACAATTTTGATAGTACTCTAAAGCTGGAACTTTACAGCTTTAGAATACTACCAATTAAATAAAATGTACCAATAGGGACTTTTTGAAGCTTTCATCTGGATATAAAATAAGCTGTGCAGAGCATGAAATTATACAGAAATGACATTATATAACTAAATTATTTTAGTATTCCAGAAACAAACAATAATGATTATTAATTAATCAGCTATTTTACCTAAAGCATTTTAAAGAGGAAGAAGAGGCAGAAGTCGTTTCTGCTGGAGAAGGTGGAACAAAATCTATATCATAATCGTCTTCATCGAGTTCAACACATGGAGATTTCTCAACTGAATGTAATTCAGTTTCTTCCAAGTTTTTTTCCTTTTCACTATTATCTAAAGTAAACAATTGATAAGCATAGGTTACTTTAATAATTAATGAGACAGAAAGAACAAGGCATAAACACGGGAAAGTGAGTGCTTCAGGCAGGTCCTAACCAGTCCCACCACCACGTGAGCCCTCCTGGTGGCTTGATTCTTCATAACTGATTGAGTCGACTGGAGTAAATCCAACGGATGCTGCTGGACTGAGGGCGACGACGTGCTCCAGGATGTTCATGATTGTCTCCAGTAAAATTATGAAACCCATACTTAGCATGAGCACTTTTGTTTTTCTGTTTTTTACTCATATTTAAATAAGGGTGAAGTTCAACAAATGAGTCTGATAATTGTATACACACTGTTGTTTGCACAACTATTTTTACTTTATCAAAAAGTCTTTCTAATGATTTGAGTCTACCAAATTGTGTCTCTCTCCTGAATATAAGGAAAAACACAATCCCAAATTCTTGCTCTTTAGTTTACCTTTTATCAAATTTTCTCTTCAAACAGCAGCACATGTGAGTAGACTATATAGCTCTGCTTATTATGAATCAACTTTGTGGTCCTTTCTCACTCTACAGTAACCTTAATGGGATTCAGGTGTTTAAAAATTTTAGTCTCATATTTACAACTATTTCATAAGGTAGGTACTTACTTCCACATATGGCTAATCTTGGCTATTAAGTTCTGGGCAACTAATAACTATGAGACCTAAACAGAAAATAATTTGTAATGTTTTAATAGCATAATTAGATATTATACAGTGATATTAGGTGGCAGCAAGACATAAAGGAATTATAATAGAAATGCTTAGCTTTACTTCCCAGTTCTACCACTTACCAAGCCAGTAGATCATTAATAGGTCATTTTAACCTCTATGGACCTTATTTTCTTCATATATAAAAATCACAGCACTAGCCTTGGTGTTAATGTAAAAATTATATTAGCAGAATAAATTCTTTCAATTCATCAGTCTGTTCTGCCTCAAGCATGTGATCAACAGACTGTTCAATAAGCATCTCTAAAGATCTGAAAAACAAAAGCTCTATTGTATTCGCTACTGTTCCAGTGCCTAGCTTTGAATGAACAAATAGAATATATTGAAATAAAAATAAAATAATAATCTTTACCTCTTTCCTCTCCCAGATGAAGTTCTAAAAAGAGACTACCCTGAGTATCCTTATTTGTAAGCTCTTGAGAATTGGAGTCGTCATCAATACAAATCACACCGCTACTTGTCCATTTGGAGTCGGCCTTCTGTTCCTTAGTCAAACATACTTGCTTGCAATCAGGGGAGCATGGAGTCAAATCAGCCTTTACTACATTTCCTGTATGAAGCTGTGCTTTAGAAAAGTTTTTCTTAGACTTTTTTGATTTCTGAGCAGTGCTTATTCTTACGAAGTGGTTTCTGACTGGTGTAACAAAAGCTTTTGAATTTCCGGAAGTATCAAAGTCATCCATATCGTCCCAATCATTGATGGTAATAAAAGAGTCTGATGAAGAACTAAATTCTAATTTCTTGAAAGTAGCATCACGGGATTCCTTTATAATCGGTGTACTCTGGGTAGTATGTAAAACTGCCTGCGGAATCTGCACCAACTCTGGCAATAATGGTTTTGAACCCGTTCTCTTGGTTTGCTGTCCTGTGGCAGTATTTTTAAAGTCACGGATCCTTGTCTGCTGATTCGTGGTATACGGGGAAGTTTCAATGTAGGAAGAATCCTCAGTAACATTAACATCTTTATCACTTAACACAGGTGTTTTTGCCACTGACACACTAGTCACAGACACATCGTTGGCTGAAGAGACTTTCTTCTTAAAAGTGAAACCACTGGAAAAATTGAAAACCTGAATTAGATAAATTTCAAGAAACCTAGCAACTATAAAAAACTCTACATTTTTTACTAATTTATATAACTTACCTTCATTGTAGCACAAATTAGCAAAGACTATATTCACTTCTCTGATTTTAAAATTTACTTAAGTTCTACTTTGTATGCTCTGATCCTTCCTATTCAGGGGCTAATTATCCAGGCCATTCCCAAGACTTCATTTCTAAGGCTGGTAGTCCTTAATTACCAGTCCCTCCAGAGGGACGGCGTGGCATAAGAGAAAAAGAGAAGACACTCAAGTGTGGCTACTTGTTGTTATTCTGATAAAAATTTTATGGGGGGAAAAGTTAAGAACTGCTTGCTATACTAAGATCTGGAGGAAAGCAAGAGTCCCGGACACCTCTGGATTTAGTGAGAAGTCAATGGAGACTTTAAAGTCAAGCACCCAATTAAGAACCTGGTAAGAGTACAACAGGAATATAAATTATTATTAAATATCATTAGGAGTTTGGGGTATAACTTGGGGGAAAGAACAGAACCAGAGAGTTATATTTTCCTTATAAATTGTTTTTGGAAAAAATATAAAATTATATTAAAATATTAAAAATACCTATTTGCCCACATTTACAAAAAAACTCATTATTTATTCATTTAATGAATATTTACTGAGCAAGTGTTACGTGTCAAAAACTGCAAAAGTGCTGAACAGTCTATTACCTGGTGCTGCAAACATATGCTTTACCATTAATGTGCAAACTGGGAGAACCATTGACCTCAGCTTTATTTACTCATCTATACGATGAAAGGGTTGAAAGGACAGAAATCTCATCTGTATCACACTGCATGTTAGTGCCTGTATAACAACAAAACCACCAAAATACTTACGAAGATTTTGGTTTTGAAAGACTTAATTTATTGTTAAGTTTTCTGGCTGAATGACGTTCCAGTTGCTCCTGCAGATTATTTTGAGGAACAGTAGCCATGATTCTAAAAAGAGAGAAAAAATATCAGTAGAGTTATTACTTTGCATTAACCACAATATTTTTGGCGGGGGGGTTGGGGGAACAAGGGGGATGGAGAACTGTTCCAACTGCACCCAAAGTAATCAGGCTTTTTTGTGGTCAATAAATTGTTTTGACATATACAACTGGTAACATTTGAAATATATAAGCTTTAAATAACTGAAGGCTCACTTGAATACCAAAATGACCTGGTTTTTCTCCAATGCTAAAATGAGCACAAAAGACATTAGGGAAGGGATTATTAGGAAAGGGCTTGCAGAAAAATGGTACCTGGCCAGGGCTTGAAGAATAAATAGCAACTGGACAGGGAGTGCGGTGGGAGAAAATAGTCAAAGCATACTGAACTGAGAGAACAAATGAACAGCTGAATTCTCTGCCCAAGGGGGAAAAGAAGAAAGAGCACCACCAATGCGAGCAATGGTTTACCAGCAAGACAGCATGCTTCAAAATTATTTAGTTTTAGCCTGAAAGAATACATTTACCAACCATGTTTTCCCGTTGTAGAACAAACTGATATTGTTGAGCTATTGCCTGACATGATGTACAGCTTAAGGAGCACAGAAAGGTAGGACAGCCAAAATCTATGGATGGCAAAAAATTTTCATTTTAGCTAACAGTTACAACCCCTCTGCCTTCTATCTTTAACAGAGATCTACCTGTATAACAGATATCTTAGGAGGAAGGGTTAACAACATTAGATGATATTTATGAAAATAAGTTTTACATAAATAAAATTCCACTCACTATTAATTATTAAAATCACCTATGCTTATCAAATGTTTTACTTCAGATAATAGTGGAAAAGAAAAAAACTTGGAAGAAACTGAATTACACCCAATTGAGAAATATGAGGAAGCAGGAATGACTTCTGCCTTTTTTTCCCTCTTTAAAATATTTTAGGTAGAATAGCTAATTAATGAATAAACACTGATTAATGTGAATTACATATTAATAAAGTTATTACCAAAATAAACACAAAAATATAGACAGAAGGGTGTAACAAACTTCAGCACAATTACCACCTATGCACACATCCCAAGGTAATGTGAATTACATATTAATAAACTTATTACCAAAATAAACACAAAAATATAGACAGAAGGGTGTAACAAACTCCAGCACAATTACCACCTACACACACATCCCAAGGTAATGTGAATTACATATTAATAAACTTATTACCAAAATAAACACAAAAATATAGACAGAAGGGTGTAACAAACTCCAGCACAATTACCACCTACACACACATCCCAAGGTAATGTGAATTACATATTAATAAACTTATTATCAAAATAAACACAAAAATACAGACAGAAGGGTGTAACAAACTCCAGCACAATTACCACCTACGCACACATCCCAAGGTCCTCACTTCACCATTCTGGAAGCTGACCTCCCAAAATGGTGATATTTTATTTGTCTTTCCTTCATTCATCATGAGTTGAAATACAGGGTGGGGCAAAAGTAGGTTTACAGTTGTGAGTATGCAAAACAGTTTATCTTCATATTATTATTTATTTTCTAGACGAACAACTGTAAACCTACTTTTGTCCCACCCTGTATTTCTATCAAGAGGAGGCTACTCTGACCTACTATGTACTTACCCAGTAGTACAGCTCACACAGGAGACAGGATAAATGTTTAATTATTTTCCTTTATTTGTTAATTTTCAAAATAATGAGTTCATACTTTAACAACCTCCAATGGTGATCAATGTTTTCTTAGTATCATTATAAACTCAAGGATTGAACATATTTTTGTATGTTTCAATCCAATAAAGTTATCATTCTTACTGATTCTCAAATTGTTTCGTGTTAGGTCAGTAGGAGCCTTTACAGGTTGGTTCTTCATTGCATTTGACATAACCTTTGTAGTCTTTGAGAGTTTCCTTACTATCTTGAATGAAAATATATCCCAGGCTTATCTTGCACATTTTTTGCCCCAGACTTAGTATTAGCCATTTCCCCAAAGAGCCCTGATTTTTTTTTTTTTAATGGAGACTATTTCAAGACCACAATCCCTGCATGTCCAATGGCACCTCCCCATTTTGGAGGACTATATCATTTGGAAAAAGATAAGCCAAAAGTAAACCCTACTTCCATCCCCAGGTGTCTGTGTATAAGTGAAGTTAGTAGTTGTTGAAGGATCGAATGGGACAGACACTGAAACCACAAGCCCAAGAGTCTTTTCCATCCAATGTTTATACCAGGATAATTTCAAAAAAAACAAACAAACAACAACAACAACAAAAAACAGGAAACACCTCAATTCATGAATTCAAATCAAAGTGACTCCAAGGCACCTGGCAGAAGCAAATGCAAACACATCTCTGGAGGAATACGCCTTTATCTCAGGTCTTAAATAATGCCTACAGACAATTTTTCAAGACAGTATGTACCAAACACAGGCAAAAACAGCCAAACACACAAGGAAACAAGCACAAAAACTAGTTGTAATAGAAGCAAACAATATCAGGATAAGAGGATAAAAATAAATTAAATTTACTACATTTAGAAATATAAAAGACAAACTTGAAACAAGTAGAAGTTTCCGATCAGGGTGGAGGTTGTAAAAAAGGGGAGTCTACACACTATTTGTGCAACAGACTTGTGCAATGATTTGTATCAGGCAATGGAGACCCACAGGGGCTTTCAGCATTTAGTTCCCAAGAGTATTTTGCAATTACTTTGGACCCCTTTGTTCTATCCTTTCTTTCCTTAAAAGAACCATATTTTAAAAATAAAGACTACAGAGGTACTAAAATAAAAAATACATAGGTACTAAAATAAATACTTACTATCATACTTAATATATACATTTATACCTATTCTATACATTTCTTTTCACTTTAAATATTTCAAACATACAGGAAAAAATATGGGTACAGAAATAAAATAACCATGTCCCCACCAACCGAACTTCAGAAGTCAACTTCTACCCTATTTCTCTTTTAAAATATAAAACATTTTAAAATCCCACTCACTCTCCCCATAGCTCCTGCCGGGCCCTCCCTTGGCACAGATCGTACTATCCTGAAGTGGATGTGTGCGATGTCCCTGCGTATTGCTATTTTATGAACACCCAACAGGCCGGCCCTGGCCCAGTTTTTCGACTCTGGGTTTCTTCCTCGGTAGGACGAAGGCAGCGCCCCCCGAGCAGGCTCTAAGCTGCTTTCTGACTGCGGCCCAGCGAACGAAATGCTGGTGCAGTGTCCTTCTGTTCACTCCTCCCCACTCAGACCACCTGCCTCCCGCTTTGCGGCTTCTGATCCCTCCCTCGGTCTCCCCCGCGACTGCTCCTTCGCCGTGGCAGGGGCACGGGCGCCGTCCCCGCCGGGGGCACCAGGAGCGGGCAGGCACCTTCTCCGTCCCAGGGCCGCAGGAGCCAAGGGTCTGAGACACCTCAGGGCGGCCCAGGGCTGTGGAGGAAGACGCTTTGGAGTCGGCCCTCAGCTCGAATCCTGTCCCTCGCACTGAATCACCAAGAGCCCCTTCAGCACGGACAGCGTCTCTGGGCTTCAGCGGCTCTCGGAGGGGCAATTTGACCGGCTTTGCTGAGTAAGGAAAACGGGACCCCCGCTATGTACCAAGTGCTCTTCGAAGCGACTGCATATACTAAGTCGTTTGATCCCGACGCCCCCCCCACGCCGACCCCCCGCCCCCGCAAAACCCCCCAGGATCTTTTCGCCCACATGACGGAGGGAAACCGAGGCACTCAGTTGAAGTAACGGTGGGGTCACAGGGCTGGTACGTGCAAGAGCGGGGATTCGAACCCGGGCGTCTGAACCACGCCCCTTCGCTGCGGTCTCGTGACGCTACACTTGTCAGACAGTGGGTGCCAAACACGTGGCGCACAGCACACACTCAAAACACAGCAGCCGGGCTCGAGGCTGCGGAAGGGCACAGAACGGAGCAGCGTTTTGGTTCCCCTCCGGAGGGAAATGGGGACGGGGCAGCGCCCTGGGCTGGGCTGGGCCCGGCCGGTGGCTACTCTGAGGCAGACACCACGGTCACTGGGCTCTAGGCCGGTTCGGCCCCAAAGCCCTGGGCGACTCCGGGACAGCTCGCCTCGGCCCCGAGCCTCTTTCCCTCCGGGAACCGTCTCTGCCCTCTCCCAGCTGCCCGCTCAGCGGGCCGAGCCGGGGCGAGCAATGGAGGAGCCAGCGAAGCTTTCCTCTCCG